AGGCTGAGATACACTCTCACCACAAACCTCATGCCCAGCACAGCACCTTATAGTTAGGAGGGAACCCAAAACTCCCAGCTTGTCCCTGGAGAGCAAAGCATTTGGACCACACATATAGCACCCTGACTTTTATGGCTGCTACATAAGGGACAGGCCCACAGTCCCCAACCTCTGACATCCAACAGGACTCACCATTCAGGAGTCTTGCAGAAACACGCTAAACAAGACAGCACTGTACAAAAATTAGGTGTGTTTCTAAACACTAACAATAAAATTCTAAAAAAAAAAAAAAATAGGAAAACAATTCCATTTATTGATATAATAGCATCAAAAATAAAACATTTAGAAATAAATTTGACTGAAGAGGTGAATGACCTATACACTAAAAACTCTAAGATGGTGATTAAAGAAATTGAAGAAGATACAAATAAATTAAAAGATATTCTGTATTCATGGATTGAAAGAATTGTCCACGCTACCCCAAATGATCTACTGATCCAATACAATTGCTATCAAAATTCCAATGACATTCTTCTCAGTAATAGAAAAAAAAATCCTAAAATTCCTGTGGAACCACAAAAGACTCCAAAAATAGCCAAAGAAATGTTAAGCAAGAACAGCAAAGTTAGAGTTATTACATTCCCTGATTTCAAACAATATTACAAAGCTACAGTAATCAAACAGCATGTATTGGCATAAACACACACACATAGATAATGAAACAAAATGGAGCCCAGAAATAAACTTACACATATATGGTAAACTAATTTTTGGCAAAGGTATCCAGAATACAGAAGAGGTAAAGGATAGTCTCTTCCATCAGTGCTGCTGGGAACACTGGACATCCACACGCAACAGAATGAAATCCCCAACTATCTTACAATACTCAAAAATTCAACTCAGAATTGACTAAGGACTTGAATATAAGACCTGAAACTACAAAAAAACTAAAATAAATCGATTCCAGGTAGGATTGAAATGGGCCTGGACAATGACTTTTTGGTTTAATACCATAAGCAAAAACAAACAAGTGGGACCATATTAAACTAAAAAGCTTTTGCACAGCAAAGAAAATCTTAGCAAAGTAAGGGCATCTGAGAAAATATGTCCAAACCATATGTTCAATTAGAAGTTAATATCCAAAATACATAAGGAACTAATACAACTCAACAACAAAACAAAACAAAAACAAATAACCTGATTTAAATACAAGCAAAGGACCTGGACAAACATTTTTCCAAAGGAGAAGTATAAATGGATATATGAAAGATGTTCAACATCACTAATAATCAGGAAAATGCAAATTGAAACCACAATGAATTTTCCCTCACACCTGTTAGGATGATTATTACTGAAAAGACAGAAGATTAACACTGATGACATGGCGCTATGGTTGAGCATCAACCTATGAACCAGGAATTTGAGGTTCCATTCCCAGTCAGGGCACATGCCTGGGTTTTGGGCTCGATTTCCAGTGTGGGGCATGCAGAAGACAGCCGATCAGTGATTCTATCTCATCATTGATATTTCTTTTCTCTCTCCCTTCCTGAAGTAAATAAAAAATATATATTTTTTAAAAAGATAAAAGCTGGTGAGTATATATAGAGAAGACCCTTGGTGGGAATGTAATCTGATACAGCCACATGGAAAACAGTAAGGAGTTTTCTCAAGAAATTAAACATACAGATACCGTATAAATCAGCAATGTCACTCCTGGATATACATCTAGAGAAATAAAGTCACTGCCTCAAAGAGCTATCTGTACTCCCATGTCCATTGCAAATTTGCAATAGCCAAGGTAGGAAAGCAACTTAAATATCTGTTGATGGATGAATGGATAAAGATGTGTGTGTGTGTGTGTGTGTGTGTGTGTGTGTGTGTGCGCACACATTATTCAGACTTAAATAATATTGTGACATAGATGAACCTAAAGAGCATTATGCTAAGTGAAATAAATAAGACAGAAGAAAGACAATTACTGTATTCTATCACTTATATGTGGGAAATAAAAATAAAGTCAAACTCATAGAAATAGAGAATTAAGGGCTGGAAAGTGGGGGGAAATAAGTAGAAGTTGATAAAGTCTTCTAGAAGGTACAGACTTTCATTTATAAAATGAAAAGGTTCTAAGGGTCTAGTATAGCATGGTGAGTATAGTTGATAATACTTCATTGTATAATTGAAATTTGATAAGACTAGATCTTAAAAGTTCTCACACAAAAAAAGGTTAGTGTGTGAGGTGATGGTCGTGTTAATTCACTTAATGGTGGGAATGCTTTCACAATGAATATAAATATCAAATCACCACATTGTACAATTTAAATATGTTACAATTTATTTCTTCAATTATTCCTGAAAAATAAAAATACATATTTGTTAATTCTTATTTCTTGCCAATAACTGGTTTATGGCTTTAGGAAGAAAAATTTGGGTCAACAATCTAGCGGATAATTGGTATGAATAATCTGGTTCCTTGCTTAGCATTCCACTTCAGGGGGAAAACGATTCCAGGTAGGACTCAGCAGCCTGAGAAAGAGCCCCAGCCTAACTGTTAGCTAGAATTGCTTCCTTTAAGCAAGCACTCAGGTCTAGTGCAAAGAACAAGCTATTGGAGTCCAGAAAGGGTGAAATTTGTTAGGCCCAGCTGTCAGAAACAGGTATATTAGGGTAGTCAGATGGTCATATAACTTTTTATCTAAATTATGACAGTTTTTAGTGAAATGAGGCACTATTAATAATTATACTAGGAAGATGTAAACTGGCACTGTCCTTAGGGAGACACATGGTCACCCTAATTCTGTCACTAGTCAGTCTGTGGAGTTGCTTCCAGTGGTAAACAGTGATCCTATAATTTGTGAACAGGTTTATACTTTTTTCTCTAAAGGTGAGGGATGATGTAAGATTAAGCGACTGTTCTAAGTAATTAGGTAGATGAAGTTCTAAATACAGTAAGCTTTTGAGGACACTAATTCCTTAAAGTTTTATTTTCTATCTTCACAAGTCATTTAAGAAATTGCTTCCTCTTTCCTAACACTTCCATGACTGTAGTATCCTGAATGCTGTAGCTCTTTTCCTATCAGGCACTTCCCATTATTTTCATGTTTGATTTTTAAAAAGCAATACTGTTGCTCACATTTCCCACTAGCCCTGTTTTGGGGGAGGAGGAACAGGGAAAGGAGAGAGTGGGAAGTAGTGGAGGAGGGATATGAATGAGAAATGGAAGTCCAGGGCAGACATTTCCCCCAAATCCTCTATTGGAGTGGACTTGAGACAGAAAAAGCCAATCTTGCTTCCAGAGTATTTCTTCTACTGTGTCACCTTCACCTATTGATTCTATTCCTTAAGGATATGTGTTTTCTACACAACCTGGCCTCCCAGTGAAGTCAGGTCCTCAGTGCCTGGGCCAGGTCTGGGCTGTGGATTCTGGCTCTCTGACACCTACAGGCCACACTTCCCAAGCTCCTGGGGCCATAACCAGAGTCAATGCAGAAGGAAGAGAAGCCAGAGTACTGCTTTGCCATCAGCTGCATTACCTCTAAGGCCCTGATCTTCTCTGCTAGGGTTCAGCTTCCTCTGCGTGACCCTGGCCTTGAGCTTTGCCTCACTTCCTTCCTTTGTCCAATTAGCCTTGGGACAGAACTGGCTTCCTGCTGTTACTAATTTCTGAGTGACCTCAGTCTTCTGCTTGTCCTCTCAGCTTTTTTAATGCTGAGCAATCAATTGCTTAAATTCTCTGTTTAAAATCCTCAAGTACTTTTTCTTTTCTTGGTAGAACCCTGAGTGCTACAATACTCAGTAAAAGAGTGAGCTATTCCAACTTAGAGGAAAACTCATTGGAGGGGCCTTATCACAAAATGGAATATGGATCTTCTCCAGGAAACCTTCCTAAGAATAGATTATTCCAGAACTTCACCTTTTCCGTTTGCTTTATACTTTTACATGCGAAAGACGCAACTCACTGAGCATATCTGTCTCAAAGCTGACCATGTTGTTCACAGGAAAGTCTAACTTATCAGGTACCTGAGTTTCATCTTAGACATTAAGGCATGAAAGAATAAGAGGAAATATTTTAATAAAGGAAACTAGAAATCAAATACTGGCTTGTAAAAAGATGGATCTGGGCTTGTGTATTTCTACTAAGATTAGAAAATACTATAATAGAATATGCAAATGATTTTACACAAATAATACATTAAAATAAATCATGCATATTTTACATTATAAATTTCCTGAATTACATAGTGTATGAATAATCAATGTTTCAAATTGCCTCCCAAAACGGGACAGTTTTGACCCCAAATTATAACAGAATTTGTAACATTAGCAGAAATAAAAATTAATTTTATGTTTAAATTTTAAATACTCCAGGATCTGAAAATATTTTTTTATTAAATAGATGGAAGAATAAAATTATCAGGTTTAGTAACAAACTTGAGGTAAAAATCTGCATTAAATTATCCACACCAAGGAGACTATATCTAAGACTATTTCCTTAATTTATCATAAATATTTAATCTTTCTCAAGTACTTTCCCTTACCTCTGGCCTGCTGGGTCTGGTATTGGAACTTTTATATAATTTCTATACTACAACTTCTCTGGGAGTGTTTGCACACAGGGCTGATTACTCAACATAGACCCATAAGATAGTTTCAATACTGCAACTTGATCAGAACGATGACTTCTCATTTTATGTAAACACTAGAGGCCCGGTGCATGAATTCATGCATGTGTGGGGTCCCTCGGCCTGGCCAGCAATCGGGCCAATTGGGGCCGGTCGGCTGCGGGGGAGGGACTGCGGGAGATTGGCTGGTTGCCCCAATTGGGAAGTTGTACTTGGCTAGCCACCAGTTAGCTGTGGAAGCACAATGACCACCAGGGGGTAGCTCCTGCATTGTCTTCTGGTGGTCAGTGCATGTCATAACTACCGTTCGGTCGTCCGGTTGTCTGGTCCTAATGGTCACTTCGGCTTTTATATATATAGATACAAATCACAGTATGCTGATATTAGACAAATTCAGCTTTAATTCACTAGCCAAAGGAGATTAAGAATATACTATAAAATGTTAATATAGTAAATATCTCAGTACACAAACTATGAAACACTGTATTATTAATTTTTGTACAAATGTATGAGGCCAATGCCATTAAAAAAATGAAATGCGGGCCTGACTATTGTAATTCTAAAAAGGTACCTCAGTTATCTAAATGGAAGTTTGGATACTTAACAAATATTAAAGTAGAACTTCAAATTCTGTAAACTGAGACGCTCATATATGTCAAGTCATCATTAAAAAACCAGCACACAATGTTAGCTATATAAGTTAAATCTGCAGATATCACAGATAATATTCATCTGTTATTTCTGTGAATTTTTCCTAAAATAGTATTTAGTAATAATGAATATCTCAAAAGCAGAGAAAAATGAAGCAGGATTATAACTGGAAATACTTAAAATAACATTTTATTTGCTAGTATGATTATGAAAAAAACACATTTCTAATTAATTCCTAGTTTATTCTTTAAATATATTTTGTTTCTTCAACCAGCACACGGAGAATTCGTATTATACCTGACCATAGTGCATTATGAAAAGCCTTGGCTTCCACTGAAGTCATATTCTGCAACCCCAAATTGGGCTCTGCATGACTGATTGCAAAGGTAGCATTAACATTCTTCCTGAAACAAGCCTCATACCTTTGAGAATGTCCACATTTAACCCATGAGCTCACATCTATAGCAACAATGAACTTTATTCATCTGCTTCCAGATGGAAAACTGGTTTACTTTATAATTAAGTCAGGCTAATAGAAGCCAATATTTCAATTTTAAAAAAATCAAAATTTACTTAAAGAAATCTAAATAGCCTTTCTAAGCTCCAAAAAGCATTTGTCTAAGAAATTCCAAGGCTGCCTTTTCTTTCAGTTTTGTTTTAGTAGATTCTGATATTCAGTAACAGAAAGTCTTTCTGAGAAAACAGCAAACTTCCTTCAGTCAAGGGCATAATTTGAAGCATTATATAATAATGAGATTTAAATTATGTATGGGAAGAAGACTGCAACAAGGTATTAGAAATCTCTCTTTGTATCTTTAGGTTTGGAAAAACATAAACACGAGCCAACACTGCTCAAAGAGGATGGTATCTCCCAGCATTTCCAGAGGCCTGCCACGTGGCTGCGATGATCCTAGGGCTTGATGCCTAGATTTCTGGGGAACCGCAGAGCGCAAGTACTCCATCACAACTTTCTCTCGAGAAGATTAACCCTTAACTACAAAGGTGCAGAAAGTCGTCCGAAGTTGCTCTCTCTAGGTACAATAACCAAATACTAAAATCAGTCAGATAAGTAAAACATGAGAGAAAAAACAACAGGTGGTCAAGGAAAGCAGCAGTAATTCTTACTTCAGTTAAGCAATTTAATGGTGCTTCCGTCTACAGTTGTTCTTCAATCATAAAACAGCTGAATACCTACCTGCCCACAAGAAGTCCTCCTCAAGATCTATCCAGCACGTTAAGGGCTTACTACTCCCCGAATCCTGAGTGATAACACGCGATCTGTAAGACGTGAACATAGGCCACATAAAGAACCAAAAATTCTAAATTCAACCTCTTTTCCTATCTAAATAAATAAAAATTTAATGTTACTTCCTCTGTTTCAACTACTTACCCTCTAAAGCAGTGTTTCCCAACCTTCTCTCATGATGAGAATCACCTGGTGGAGTTGTTAAAACAGATTCCTGAATCCCAACTAAGAAGTGCTAAACTAGAATTTTTGAGAACATATAGGTAAAATTGCATACCTAACTTAGTGCTCTGTATATAAAATCTGTCTTAGAGAGCACTAGTTAAGTATACAATTTTACCTATATGTTCCCAAAAATTCTAATTTTTTATTTATTTATTTATTTTTTTTAGGAGAAAGTTCCTTAGAAGTCCCCACTCTTTGCATGCTTTAACCTTGTGTCAAGTTAACAAAATCAGTATTACTGTTAGCTTAACAAGAATTATTGGTGGTACCAAATAGGAAAGCAGCCATCTGTTTTAAAAATGTGGTATCATACACAATCTTTTAAATTAATATGAGTTCTCAGAACAGGCAGAAAGATGGCTAAACTTCATTATAGACTTATGGTATCACTAAAGCACTTTTAAGAACAGAGTGGATCCAGAGACATGGGAGCGTGTAAAAGATTGAGAAATCTCAGATGGAAGGTATGGGAAGGTGGGTGGGTGGGAGTGATCAACCAAAGAACTTGTGTGCATATATGCATAACCCATGGATACAGATAATAGGATGATGAAGGCCTGGGGGGGGGGGAGGTTAAGGGGTAGGAAGTGGGGTGGGATAAAAGGGGTCAATTGAGAAAAAAGGGGATATATGTAATATGTTCAACAATAAAGATTTATTTTTAAAAGAATGTGAATAACACAAACTGAAGCTAAACATAGCAAAGGGAATTTTTAAAATATTGATAAGAAATTTTGAAGAGTAATGAACTTGAAAACTAGTTCTGATTAATGGCTTTTTGCAGTTTAGGTTCTTACAAGGGTATTTCTTGGATCACATGATCTCACTCATCTAGAGGAAACAATGAACAACACAAACAGACCCAGAGAAAGAGAACCAGTGATCAGACTCTCAAACCTCAGAGAGAAAGTAAGGGTGGATGGGGGTAAGGGGAAGAGATCAACCAAAGGACTTGTGTGCATGCATATGGGCCTAGCCAGTGGCCATGGACAACGGGAGGGGGGGGGGGAGAGGGGCATATCTAGGGAGGGGTTTGGGATGGGAATGGGGGAATAAGGACAATTATGTGAGACCATAATAAAAAATAAAAAATAAAAAAAAAGCCTGGATGAATTCCAAGACATACTTCATTCCCAATGTCAACAGTGATGAGAATCCAGAAACAGTTGGACAATATGGATATATAAGACCTAAGTATAGGAGTCAAAATTAGAAGTTATTTTATATTTAATTTAAACTTGGTAGATTCGATTTAAATGTAATTTAAGTAGAATTTCTTCTTGCTTTCCTTCTTTGGTATTTAATCCATTAAAAATTATTTTTAAAAATACCTAGAATTATAGAAAGAAGCAGCACCCAGTTCCATAGTAATGTGGCACATTTTTATGTGAAAAAAAATCAGAAACCAACTGATAGATCTATAATACACACATATATATAAACATTTTATTTTAATAATACTCTTTTATCACTTCAATTTAAATCATTCCATTATGAAAATGTCTTAATTGAAGAGAGAATATTTCTTCAAAACTCTAAATTAAGCAGAGCTTTATCGATTAAATTTACAGCAATACAGGTTTTAGAAATATTATACATGATTCTTCATTTTACAATATATCCCCTTTAAAAATTTGTCATGGTTTGTCACAGATTTAAAATACAAGGCACCTAATGCTATGAAAGTATAACACAGTATATGTAGTGTAAGTGAACCAAATCTTTTCTCAAATATTTTTTCTGAAGTCTAACCAAATTTGTGTAAATATACTTGTCATATAAATTAAACATTTTTGTGTTAATTTGCAATATTCTACAAAACTCAGAAATATAATCTATACCTATTATAGGTAGCTTAATTTAGCATTTTACCTGTACAAACACTGATCTATATACTAAACAATTTCTTGAAAACATTTTCATAACACAGTCCAGCATTTAACAAATAATAGGTGAAGATAAAGTTTCCAGACATTAGGATTTTATTCCTTGATTAGTTCAGATTATTTCATCAACTGAATTCCTTGAGATGTGTAAGGCAGGTGGTCCTTTAGACAGATTGCAGGCTGAAACTTCCTATAACTGTAGGGATGTACTCAGCGACATAGCAAGTACTTCATTATGAAAATGAAGAACAACAATATGAGGAAAATATATTTTAGAGTTCCAAAGAACTGAAAATGTTATTTTTCAGACTAGGCACTGAAACATTTTTCTCCAAAATCTTGCCAGAGATTGTCTCTTCGCTATATGATGTTCCATTGTCAAGCTGAAAATAAAAGCAAACACAAAATCATTTAGATAACAGCCTATCATAGCTTTAATTTTCTATAGCTTATATTTTAAAATGCAAATTGTCTTAACATTGAAATATACATCAAACACAATCTATCGATATGTAGTGTATATAATTGGGTATATGTACTTGAGGTGAGTCCTGGGGACACATGAACACTATAGCAGTGTCAAAGGCTGACACCCAACACTACTTAAAGATCATGTAGTATGTTTAATCATGGTGTATTCCACCATTAACTGCATTGAGACAGACTCCTGCACAAACTGTCCTATTTTATTGCTTTATTGTAGCTCATTTTCTTTTGTCTTCACCATCTCCCCTTTATCCAGCTCTCACTTCCAAAATTATTGAAACTTAGGTCGGGGGGGGGGGGGGTGGTGGACATGAGTGTGAGTATGGAAAAATGCACAGCATCTTAGGGAGGGGAAATGCATGTCATAGCAATAAAAAGATTTGAAGAATAACTTTTTAAATTTAAAGATGGCAAATAAACACATATTAATTTCACTGTCCTTAAAAATCTCAGTAAAAAGACAATAAAGGGACTTTTTAAAAGGAATAAACCATGTGGATAAAGAGAAGAGCAGAGACAAGAAAATAAAGGCTAACTCTTGGCTAGCAATGGAGAAATCTACAAGCTCTCTCTCTAAAATGAAGACACGACTGAAAACAAGCAGATTGGTGCAAATTTTATAGAAAAGCAGTTAGAAACCCAGATGTCCTCCTCTTACTTTTCACAGTGGGTGCCTCTGCTGTATCCCAGAAGAGGCTTATTCCTAAAAAAAAAAAAAAAAGCACTAACAGAGGGTCTCTGGATCGGGGAGATGCCAAGCACCATCCTATGTGGCTCAGACAGAAGCAGCATTTGTAGAGCCATAACAATGTGAAAGTTGACTATAGATCTACCCAAAAGTATGCAATAATGATACTGGGCTGATAAGAAGGAAGGAGTGACATAGGGTTGGCAAACAGGCAAGTGGGGTGAGAATAGGAAGGAGGCACTTGAAAGTAACCTATCCTCATTTACCATAGTGGGAAAATCAACTGAATATGCCCACAACCGAGAAAGCAAGAAACAGAAGTATAGGCATGGTAATTAAGAGTGCCAGGAAGGCTGAAACCAGTTTTGCTCAGTGGATAGAGCATCGGCCTGTGGACTGAAAGGTCCCAGGTTCGATTCCGGTCAAGGGCATGTACATTGGTTGCGGGCACATCCCTGGTAGGGGGTGTGTAGGAGGCAGCTGGTCGATGTTTCTCTCTCTTCGATATTTCTAGCTCTCTATCCCTCTCCCTTCCTCTCTGTAAAAAAATTAATAAATTTAAAAAAAAAAAAAAAAAAAAAGAGCGCCAGGGAGGAAAATACCAAAGACTCCACTTAAGAGTTTAATGTGATTCCTGAGAATGGGAAAAGAGTGAACACAGGAAAGATGGTGCAGAGCAGGGAGAGCTGCTTTGTGTAAGATGTCATGTAGAACTCTAACTCTTGAACTAATATGGGCATGTATAACCATCATAACAAAAGGAAAATGACCAATCACAGAAAAACACAAAACCAAGGCTTTAGTTTGTGTATGAATTTACCATGAGGAATTTACTTAAGTTTCAAGGTCTATGTGATCACAGGGGTTGACAGGAGTTGCTCAATGTTCTATGTGAGGAGGGAAACCCAGTTGCAATTAGGACACATTTCAATCTAAGTTGCCTAAATTTATCTCAGAAAAAAAGAGCCTGCACGCCCAGAATTTTAGTAACTTATATGATCCTTCATTCTAAATAAATTATCACTTTTGTACCTGACAAAGATATATGTAAGATATATTGTAAACATTCATTCAGCAAAATATAAAATGTAATGTACTTTTTCATTCATATAAGAAATATAAAAGATAATATTTCTTAAAGTTTTTAAAAACTGGAGAAATGTTCTTCAAAATTGTTATATACTGGGCCGGTTATAGTAACACATAAATAACGAAAAGACTAAATATATACCCAAGTATTGCTTTTTTTCTGAATGTTATACTTAGAGAAAAAAACATGTTTCTAAAGTATATCATAAATAAAATAATGATGGTGGACACGAATAAAAGTAATAGTTAAAGCTTGAAATCACTTAGTTTTAGTCAGGCACTAATACTGTATGTACTTCAAACTTATGAAGTGTTTAAAACTCCCTTAATAATGAGGGAGTTTCAATTATAACCCCTTTTCCACAACTGAGACACAGAGAGGTTATGAATATTGTTTAAGGTCACAAAGCTAGTACATGTAAAAATTGGAAAACAGTTTTTGGAAATGAATGAAACCCAGGCAGTTTGACTCCATTAGCCTCTTGGATGTATTGCCTCTCAAACAACTAATTATGGAAATTAAATTTTGAATATAAGCAATACAAGAATTAGAACTAGTCAATGCTAAAGCCAGCTAACATACAAACCTGACGACTGACAACAGCTAGCTAGCTCCATCCTCCTGAGCAACACTGTGCATAGGAATAAGACTCTCACACTGTTCATTGTCTTCTGGAACCCTTTAAAAAAAGGCAATAGTTAAAGAAAGCTTTAGAACTAAAAGGAACCCTTAAAAATGATCCATACAGATAGCTGAAGCTGTGTGGTCAGAACTAAGACTAGGGCAAAATTTCTCAACAACTTGTCTCAAGTTTTTTCTATAATAGAATATGAAAGCTTTCTCTGTTTAAAAAAATTGAAAAAAATTTTGAGGCAATGTTATCATATTTTATTATGGATTTTATTCAAACCAATAAGAGTTCTCTACATTTAAATGTGTTATAACAAAATAGTAAGAACTTTTACTATTTTAAAATTTTACCTGTGAATCAAAACATTTTTTAAAAGTAGTTGTGAAGAAACTATCATAACCTACGGATTTGAACAAATTACTTTAATTTTACCTGGCATAGTACATATCCTAAATAATAAAAGGCTAATATGCAAATCCACTGAATGGCCAGTTGCTATGACGCACACTGACCACCAGAGGGCAGATGCTCAATGCAGGAGCTGCCCTGGTGGTCAGTGTGCTCTCACAGGGGGAACATGGTTCAGCCAGAAGCTGAGCTCACAGCTGTGGTGGCTGGAGCCTCTCCCACCTCCAGGGCAGCGCTAAGGATTAAGGATGCCTGATTGCTGGCTTCAGACATCTGCTTCAGACATTCCCTGAAAGCTCCCAGGCTGCAAGAGGGTGCAGGCTGGGTTGAGGGATCCTCTTCCTCCCCCCCCACCGAGTGCATAAATTTCGTGCACTGGGCCTCTAGTACAATTATAATCTTTCAATAATTCTTCACAAAATCTCTAAAATCTAGGCCAGCATGATATAATTACCAGTTTTTTTTTTAGCAAACAATTTGTTTAAAAATTATATTGTAGCTAAATCTACCTCTGAATTCGATGTTTTCTGCATATAAAGGCAAAAATTCTTCTGATTCCCACCATCACAGGATCCCAATTATTATAATGGCATAGGAGAGTTACAATAAAAAATGAAAAAAATACAGGGATAGCGCCTGCAAAAAATAACCAAGAAAACTGCACCTAAAAATAAAAGGTAGAAAAAACACACTGTAATTATTAGGAAGACAATTTTCCCCTTAATGTAAGTTTTCCATTTATGAAAAGTTATGGGAATAAGTTAACAGACTAAAAAATACTAGTAATACTAAGTACTGATAACACATTAGTAAGTTTATTATTATTAAAAAGGATTCAGAACTTCAACATCCTAACCACTTGCTTAAATTACCAACAAAAATATTTCTCACTTGGGAAACAGCCTAAAGGAAAGCCAGGAAGGCATGCTTTTTATTTATTAGACACAGCTTGGCTGAGAACAAAATTATGAAACTTTAAGTTGCCCATTTCCCCTTCACTAATTACTACTTATCTCAAGTTGATCCTGTCCTTCAGTTTCTGAAGTCATCTTAAAATCTCAAATTTTAAAAAAGTATGTTATGTTCTAGTTGTGATATGCTGTGTTGTTACAGTTAAGATAGTATTAAAAACAGATTAAACTCTTAACTTCAACTTCTATAAACCTTTTACTAACAACTAGAGGCCCGGTGCACAAAATTTGTGCACGGGGGAAGGGAGTCCCCTCTGTCCAGCCTGGATCCTCTCCAATCCGGGACCCCTTGGGGGATGTCCGACTGCCAGTTATAGAATGATTTCATGAATATTCAACTAAAAACCCTATAAATGAATTAATGCAAACTTTATAAATGTAGGTTAAACCCTAGATGATGTTTAAAGGAAAGTTCACTTTTAACAATGCAGTTGCATGTTGCCACATACTATAAAACTATTTGATTTCCAAGAAGCTAGAAATATAATTTTTAAAAATGAAGACATCTATTAACAAAGAAAACGTCTATATAAAAAATATATAATCCCTAAATATATATGATAATAAATCTAAATATACTAGGTGTACTAGTTAATAATGCAAATTTTTTTAATAGATGGAGTTACACTATGTTGTTATATATTCGATTTGATATGTATGTTATTTTGTTGTATTGACAGCAAGCTTCAAAACTTCGTATGTCAAATTTGCTAAGGTGTTAACATCATAGATGTTTTTATGTTTAAAAATGTCGAGCCCTGGTTGGTTTGGTTCAGTGGATAAAGCGTTGGCCTGCAGACTAAAGGGTCCCAGGTTCGATTCGGGTCAAAGGCATGTACATTGGTTGCAGGCACATCACCAGTAATGGGTGTGCAGGAGGCAGCTAATTGATGTTTCTGACTCTCTAAATCTCTCCCTTCTTTTCTGTAAAAAATTAATAAATATATATATTTTTTAAAATGTCAAATTTTGTGCCAAAGAAAGAGCATTTGTGGGAAGTTTTAATTCATTTCTTTATTATGAAGGAAAGTGCTGCTGAAAGTTATCGTATACATCGAGAAGCTTATGGTGTACATGCTCCATCTCAAGATATACTTGTGAACACTGCTTTTAAAACGCTTTAAAAGTGATTTTTATGTGAAAGACAAAGAAAGTCCAGGTCAACCAAAAAAGTTTGAAGATCAACAACTACAAACATTATTGGATTAAGATGCGTGTCAAACTCAAAAACAACTTGCAGAAATCTTAAACGTTGCTCAGCAAACAATTTCTGATCATTTACAAGCAATGGAAAAGATTTTAAAGGAAGGAAAATGGGAGTCACATCATCTGAACGAAAGACAAATGGAAAACCAAAAAGTCATCAGTAAAATGTTGCTTCAATGGCATGAAAGAAAGTCCTTTTTGCACTGAATTGTGACTGGTGATGAAAAGTGGATTTATTTTGAGAATCCCAAATGCACAAAATTATGGGTTAATACAGGTCAACCACAACATAGACTGCAAGGCCAAATCGCTTCAGAAAGAAGACAATGCTCTGTGTTTGGTGGGATCAGGAAGGTGTAGTGTATTATAAGCTTCTAAAACAAATGAAAGTATTAATACTGATCGCTACTTACAACAAATAACCAATATGAACCATGCTTTGATCGTGAAATGACCAGATTGTGCCAGAAGACACAGCAAAGTAATTTTGCTTCATGATAACGCACCATCACACACTTCAAAACCAACTAAAGACACGTTAAAAGATCCTGCCTAGGAAGTATTAACCCACTCGCTGTATTCACCAAATCTTGCTCCTTCAGATTACCACTTGTTCCCATCCATGGCATATGCACTTTCTGAGCAGCACTTCAAAACATACGAAGAAGTAGAAAATTGGGTCTCTGAATGGTTTGCCTCAAAACAAGAGAAGTTCTATTGAAAGATAAGGGAAATGGGTAGCTAGCGATGGACATTACTTTGAATAAAACACCTACACCGTGCAGGAAGTCCATGCACCAGGCCTCTAGTCATTTAATAAATGAGATCCCCTGTGACATTTCTTTTTTTTTAATTCCCTAAAATTAACCTTCAATTTCATTTTTCATATGTACAAAAGCTGATGTTTTCAAAATATCATAACATTAAAGTTCAATTGAACAGTGGTCTACCAAAATCCTTACTTCCCCAGTTTCACTATAACAATTTTGGTTCATATTCAAGATTATTACCCTGAGATGTAAAGGACCTGGATATTATTTAAATGTATAAAAAGAATCTAATAAGCATAACTTTAGTATTATATATATTTTACAATTTTGACATTCTTTGAAAATGCATGCTATGTAAGATAATTCATTCTCAATTAAGGAGATTTCCATTTTTAACTATGACAAATAAGAATTTACTAAACCACAAAACAATGTTAAATACCAGTATAGATTTTTTAAAAATAAAAAAGATAGATATCATTAAGAGTATTTTGTCTTTATCCTAAAAAGTGCACAATCTAAAGAAAATTAGCTTTCAAAATCTGATTATAAGTTCTACACAGTATAAGCCTTTGGGCTTTCAAGTATTTCCTCTTCCAATTATATTAAACCAACACTCCACCCTCTCCCTCTCCTCCCCCCACACATAGCATGCACACAGGCATACCATTTTGTTACTTAAAACAGTGTTTTTCAACCTTTTTTGGGCAAAGGCACACTTGTTTCATGAAAAAAATCACGAGGCACACCACCATTAGAAAATGTTAAAAAAATTTAACTCTGTGCCTATATTGACTATATATAAAGTAATTCTCTTGAATAGGAATCAAATAAACACAAAGAAAGTATTTTATAATTACTTTATTATGAAATATTAAGTAAACAAAATAGTGAAAAATTATAAAATTCTTGTCTTGTCTGCACCTACGGCACACCAGGCAACATCTCGCGGCACAACAGCGGTTGAAAAACGCTGACTTAAAAGCTTACAAATACTGAACTGAGTGGTCCATGCTACATTACATCTTTTAGCATTAGCCAATGGCACATCTCTTTTCTCCTTGTTAACCCTTAGGAGTACTAAAGAAACTTCCCCCTTCAGGCTGTTGGGAGAGACACAGATTCTCTTTTCTGCAATATTGCCAGTACTTATCACAAGATTCCCATATTCAGACCAGGACTTCATAGAAGAGGCAGAAGGCCCCTGCCCTGCTAGTTCAGAAAGAAATGAGCATTTGCTGAGAAATAACACTGCTCTTATACCTCTCAGATTTATAGTAGTACTAGAGGCCTGATGCATGAAATTTGTGCACAAGAGGAGGGGTATGTGTGTCCCTGAGCCCAGCCTGCACTCTCTCCAATCTGGGACATCCCTCTCACAATCCAGGACTGCTGGCTCCCAACCACTCACTTGTTTGCCTGCCTGATTGCCCCTAACAGCTTCTGCCTGCAAGCCTGATTGATGCCTAACTGTTCCTCTGCCAGCCCGATTGCTCCTAACTGCCCTCCCCTACAGGCCTGGTCCCCCACAATTTCTCTCCTCTGCTACCCCAGTCACACCTAACTCTCCTCCCCTGCAGGCCTAATCACTCCAACTTCCCTCTCCTGCTTGCCTGATTGCAGACAACTGCCCTCCCCTGCCGGCCATCTTGTGACAACCATCTTATGTCCATATGGCGGCAACCATCTTATGTGTTGGAATGATGGTCAATTTGCATATTAACTTTTTATTATACTGTATAGGATTACCACAGTGCTAAGGATTTTATCTTAGAAATTAAAACACTACTACTTAAATGATAAAATATATCCCTACTCCATACCACTGACTTAACAAAGAGCATATGGAACATATCTACTACTAGATGAAAAGCTACATATAAAGATACTACTCTTAAGATAAAAAATTGAAAAACTAAAAAATCAAGAGATTATCCATTTCTTTCAGTCAGCACTTTTCTTTAATCCTCACCAGAGGATATTTTTACATTGATTTTTTATTTTATTTTTTACGTTTTAGAGAGCATGAAAAAGAGGAAAAGACACTTAGAAACATCGATGTTAGAGAAAAACATTGATTGGATGCCTCCTGCAGGAGCCCTGATCCGGGCCCCGGCAGTGGAGGAGCCTACAACTGAAGTATGTGCCCTTGACTGGAATCAAACCCAGGAGGTCAACGCTCTATCCACTGAGCTAAACCAGCTTGGGCACTTTCAGTACTTTTTACATCTCTATGTAGTAAAGCACCTTGGGAGAGAAGGCATCAAGTATTACTCATGGTTATATCCTTATAATTTAGTCACATCCCTAAACCTTCATTAGCTCTGTTTTTAATAATATACATAAAATATCTAATAAATAGCTTTTATCTAATAAATAGCTTGTCTTACCTTTTGCATACACATGTCAGCTATTATGGACAGAGGTATCGTAAGGCTTAGTGCAAGTGTGCCTATCAATGATGAGGTAAGAAAGCAGCCCCTAAAAAGGAAAAACAAAACATACATTTCCATATTAAAAAAGTAAAAAGAACCAAAGAAAAACAATGATCAATGTCTACCTACCCTAAAATATAGATGTGAGAAATCAAAAGCAAAAATGAAAGCTCAGGATGGACTGAGACATAATAAATAACAGAATTACTAAGATAATTCCAAAAGTTTATCTTCAAATATTAAAAATCCAAATATATAAGTATAGGTATTTTGAGGCATTTTATGCTATTTTCAAGATCTGCTTACAGACATTGTTCAACTTTAAATGCATAACTTACATTTCCTTAACAAAACTGTCAAAAGAGTTGTGATAGAGCATCGACCTATGAACTAGGATGTCATAGTTCAATTCCCGGTCAGGGTACATGCCTGGGTTGTGGGCTCAATCTCCAGTGGGGGAATGTGTAGGAGGCAGCCAAAATGCTTCTCTTTCATCATTAATATTTCTATCCCTCTCTCCCTCTCCCTTACTCTCTGAAATCAGTAAAAATATATATATTTTTAAAAGAGTTGTGATAATGATACTTAGCTAACAAAGCAGGTAGCTTTATTAAAATTGTAAGGCAATACCTTACAACATAGACTTTAAGAAAGTGATAAGCCAATATGTGCATCTGTCATCAAACAAAAAATATCTCACCCTCATGAGAACTAAGTCTTTAGATGTATACTGCTCTTCTAGTGTGGTTCAGCATTGAAAAGAAAACAAATCTGGATATTTTAAAAGGGTATGTCCTTGTTTTCCACTTGTCTAGCAATTGTCCTAACCAAAGCCTGTATTATTTTCACCTTGAACTATCATTTGTTTTATGTTTATCTTAAACTATAAATATTGGTATCAAATTTTAAAATATCAATTTGCATATAATTTTGTTTAGTTGAAGAAAAAAAGAAACCATTATACCAAACAAGTGAGCCATTTATAAAGACTAATAATTTGGTATATCTAAAAAGATAATAAATAATAGGCCAAGATAAAACCGTAATGTATATCATTAGGAATATAGACCCATGGAAATTATAGGCAAGCAAGTTCTAAGTATAAGTTAGAATTTGTAATGCTGTCTTGTTATAAAAGAGGCTATGTCTTGAAAGTGTCATCTGAAATATTCAACAGAGGCTGGTCAATCCGTTCTTATTGCTGCAATAAAGAGAACTCAAGTACTAGTGTTTCCACTATTCATAAGCTGCTCTATGAAATATGTTCTTAGATATTTATAATGCTAAGTACAATCATAAAAATTCTGATATGCTTGTTATGGTTATTTTGAGTTACCAACACTAGAATTTAGGGATATGTTTGTTTCATTACTTATTCACTTTATTGTTACTGAGTTTTTATTGTAAGTACTCATAAACACTTGAATATAGAGGTGCATCTGAAAAATAAACCTTGAGATCCTGAAAAATCCATCCTAGGTAAGGATAAATATAGCTTTCATCATAATATATAAATTTCAGTGTCCAGTTTAACTATTCAATAATAAACACTCACAAATACACAATAAGGAATAGAAATTGTGTTCCCCCTATGAAGAATGATTTTGCAATTCTGTATCAAAATTTAAAGTCTATATGTCTGACTCAGTCTTTTCCACTTAAGAGGCATTTATCCAATAGAATGCTAACATATATATGCAAAGATACATATAAGAATACTCAATGCTATATTATTTACAAAGCAAAAGACTGCAAACTTAAAATGTCTCTCCATGAGAAAATGGTAAGACATGTTCTACCCATTACATAATAAAATTGATTAGAATATAGCATTTTAAAATACAGCCTTTAAAAAAATGAACCTAAGTGCTGTTATGTGAAGATTGAAAGACAATTTGTGAAAAAAAGTATAGAACAATATCCATAGTATGCTCCCATTTGTATGTTGAGAATAAAACAAATTGAAAGGAAAATTAAGAGGATGAAACATAATTTTATATGTATAAAAAATATTATAGAAGGTTTAGATGTTAAATAGTGGTTGCCTTTGAGAAAAAGGAATAGGTATTTGGGGTAGAAGGGAGATTTCAATTTTCATTGTGAACCCTTTTGTACATTCTTTTACTTTTTAAAAGTTAAATAAAAAAGAATATTGTAAAACATGCTATTTATTTCTTTAAATGTAAAATTTTCCAAGGAAACAAACTACAAAACCTCACATAATGGAAAGATTATACATCACAACTCATATTTTATTGTCCCCAAAGCCTACATTAAATTCTGCTGAATATAATGAAAATCTTTTGCATATGTTTATTATTAAAAAATAAAGCGTTGCCAAAACTGGTTTGGCACAGTGGATAGAGCGTCGGCCTGCGGACTTGAAAGGTCCCCGATTTGATTCCGGTCAAGGGCATGTACATTGGTTGTGGGCACATCCCCGGTAGGGGGTGTGCATAAGGCAGCTGATCGATGTTTCGAACTCTCTATTCCTCTCCCTTCTTCTCTGTATAAAAATCAATAAAAATATATTTAAAAAATAAAAATAAAGCGTTCAATAACGAATGAGCAGTTTAATATCTATAGGTGGCACAGTCCATGTTTACTATGAGTCTCAATGTAATGATCAAGTAATAAGGACCAAACTATACCTTTCTTTAGTCTAATATCTAAAGAAAAACTTTATTATTTCTTTCAGATATGTAAAAATAAGTGCTCTGCTTTGAAATTTCCCAATTTAAACTTAACTTAGGAAACCAGAAAATATGAGCTTGTATTAAAATACAATGAATACATAATTATTTAAAGCATATGGTTCATTGGGTTGAACTATATAAAACTGTAGTCAAAAAGGGCTGAAGATCAACAATTCTTTATGATCCTACTATGTTAAATCAAAACACAACCAGCAAATAGTTTTATCTGCTCAGAACCCAGAGTGAAGAGAGACAAGAGAAATGATAGAACAAAAGAAGTGATAAGATAACAAGAGATATATGATTATATATTAATGTATAAAATAAAGTACGTAGCTCTTTTAGGTTAAAAAAGTGAGCATCTAAAATGCATGTAAAGAAAGATGGAAAAATAAATGAGTAAATGAATTCTGAGATAAGAGTTTTAGATTAGCAAAGGAATTTAAGATGGGAACATAAATCACTACAATACAAAGCAAACCTTTAAGTACTACATGAAAGAGAGTGAGTGTTGAGGATATCAAGAAAGTAAGAGCTATTCTCTTAACTAGGGAAGAGGAAGAAGTATAGGCAGAGCATAAAGAAAGACTTCTTGCTAAAGGCTATTTTTGTCACAGCCTTTTGCAAGGGAAACTAGGCAGCAATCTTAAATGCCATATAATAAAAATTCATTTAACAGTTTAAGTACAATTTGTGTTTCTTTTTCAGTTCTTATTAGGTGGAAGCAGGATTAAATATCAAGCTCTATATTTGAAAGGTTTCTTAAATTCCATACATGATATTGTCTTCCAACTATAATATTTTAGGAATATCATTAAATATCAACATATTTTATATTATAACATTTCAAAGTATGTTAACATGTATAATCAGAGTTTAGGGCTTACATATGTAACTCATCCACGTGAAAATTCCTGAGAATAAACAAAAGAGACAAAGTCTCTAAAATAAGCAAAGGCTCTTAGACAAGCAGAGTCCTCAGAGTCTAAGAACTTGTGTCATTGATATGTAGGAAACACATCTTGTAACGTAGGATATCCATTAGATACCACGTTTCATTTGTATCACACTACTGCCAAAAACACTACAAATTTAGGTCATTCATATTCATTCATTCAATATTTACTGAGGTCCTTTTATGTTCAAAACATTACTCTATTTGATGGATAATTAGAAATTAAATAAATAACAGAACACAAAGTTCCGGCTGTAATGGAGTTACTTTATTGAATTGTTAAATGTGAGATGAGAAGGTGCACAGAAAGGGCCATCAGAAGACCAAAAAAACATAAATGCTAAACTACCCAAAAGTCCATAAACTGATAACTAATAAATCAGAGGTAATAAACAGTACATACCACAACCACAGGAACTCTGAGAGAACTGTTCCAATAAGGCCATTAATGATAATGCACATTAATACTACTTTATTGGGAAATTCAAAGTCCTCAAATCCAGTATAATGAAGTAAAAAGAAACCTGGCCATAAGAGCAGCAGATTAAACAGGCCTACAAAACCTAAACATGTATAAAGAGACAAATGTTAGTTTCTCAGATTTATTTAAATTTTCCAAACTTATAACTCTATACTTATAAAACCGATCTTATACAAAGGGCTCCAAAAGATTTCCTTAACTGGAACTTGTTTCTTTGGTTAAAGCCAGTCCTACGGATAACTCAACACCAGGAAAAACTGTATCAAGCAACTGTATCAAGCCCACAGTGCATGGACCAGCTACTACAGAATAAATCACTAAAAACAATTAAAAAAGAAGGGTTAACTTTAGCTACTAATAATTACAAGGTGAGGCAAAAGTAGGTTTACAGTAATGAGTACAGTATGCAAAATGTAAGCCTACCTTTGCCCTACACTGTATTATCTTGAAAGTTAAATGAATAACTCGTGTGTGTTTGTATATTTTCCCTTAAGTATAAGGAAATGGATGGTTTGTTCTCTGATTCAACTCATAGTTATGTTTAAAGCTCCAATGCTATATTAGGAATAATGGAGGAAGGATCCAAAAAAAGATAAAATTCTTGGTTCCTGCCTTCCCAAAGCTCATTAGCTAATTGGTGTGATAACACATATATGCAAATACCTATTCAAGGTATGAGCACAGATTACTTATAAGGAAGGCTGCAATGATCAGTGGTTAGAGTTTGAGCAGTCAGATTGCCCTGGGTTTTGATTCTAACTCTATTATTTACTAGTAATGTAAACCTGAGGCAAGAGCAGAACCTCTTTTAAGCCTGTTTTCTAGTCTAAGTATAAAACAATATTTACTTAGGTTATTGGAAAGATTAGATAAAACATAAAATATAGCACAGTACCTAGCAAAGAGTAAACAGTTAATAAAGACTACTGTTATTATAAAAGTTAAAGTTTGCATATGACTATATACATGCAAATAGTATGTAGTAAAGACTACAGAGAGAAATTATTATAATTTTATTGCACTTTCTATATAGTTTAGCATCAAGGATTCATAATAAAATCCATAAGGTAAAAATAAGAACTTTCATCTAAAAAGTTAAATTACAGTAGATATGTATTTTATATTGGCTACTAAACAATAAACTAGAACTTAGGCTGGCCAGTTAAATAGAAACAAGACAGGAGCACCCACTCTCTATCCGAAGCTTATCTACAGAACTGTCTTGGACATCAAACAGCATGCTCTGCCCAGGGAGTTCCCATCCCTGCCTACTCTATAGCCTTTGCAGCCAATGACTGCACTCACTCACAAGGCCGACCCCTGTGGCGGGAATCCTAATGGCTCAAGGCCTGACATCTCCAAGAAGTGCCTAGACATTACCTGCTGCCTCCCACACCTGCTTCTCCATTCTGCTTCTCACTCCCTTGCCAGTTCTTCCTCCAGAGGACCTCAATAAATAACCCACACTAAAGCCCTGTCTCCTATTTTGCATCTAAGGAACCCAATTTAAGACATTTAGTAATAAAAAAAATAAAAAAATAAAAAACAACGATACATGTACAGAAAGGACTAATGATCTTGCATAACATTAAAAAGTTGTCATTAAAATGCCAAGAACCAAATTTATTTTCTGGTCCCTGAACTATCAAGTCTATGAAATCCCATATTAATTAACAATGTCTGGACCTACAAATAATTTCCTCTATTCTCCAGACCCTCAAGAATTTGGCCCACATGCCTTACTGTTCTACCTAAAGTGAAGGCTTCAGCACAATCACACAGATCTACTCACTGTTCCCTACCATGCTCACTTCCTTATGCCTAACGCACCCTCCACATTCAGCCATAACTTCTCTTATAATCCCATCTATTCTAAAACTCAGGTCAAATCAATATTTTCCTTATCACATCACATATGAAGAAGACCAATCAAGTTATATGTCTGTATATTCTATTAAATTAAGCAATGTTTCTTGAAGGCTGCCAATCTTAAAAAAATAAATAAAAAATAGCATTTTTCTCCATTACAGATAGAATTTTCTATGGCTCTAAAATAAGATGACTAAAATGATCTTCATATTTAAGGTATATTTATTGGATTCTATACTTAAAAGGAACTTGATTGATCACTCAGTTTGGTGGCTTTTCAAACCTTTTAGTCAATTAAGTAAAGATATTCAAACTGCTTTTAGTATCAACATCTGTTCTACAATTTAAATAATAATGCAAAAGACCTAACAAAACAGTGTTGTTCCAGCTGAAACAGACCCCACATACAACTCTACGTCCTACCAACCTTCCCAGGATCCTTTGTAAATCAGCTTGGAAACTACCCATCAGTCCAATTTCCTCATTTTTCAGATGAGCATGAGATAAATGAAGTTATAATAACTATATATTCCAGGTCTCCTGGTTCCCTGTAAACTGCACTTTGAACCGTCATCACCAGACTTCTTTATCTATTGGATTTACGATATCTTTTGAAAGATATACACAGATAACACTCGTTTTTTTACTGAGCTGATTTTTGGCAAAAGAGAATTTATAAATCATATCAGGTATTTTATTTACAAAAATTAAAAACAGATGCCAGGAACTATAATTGGGTAATTTGAAAAATACATGTCATAAAAGAGTCTGACTCTAAAAGATAAAATGCAAATGGAAAAACCTTAAATGACCCACAATTTTTAATGAAAATAAGTATCTAGACCAGAACGGTATTATATATATCTTTTGGGGACAGTTTCCCCAATCCTATGCTTTCAACAACTCAAAAATGGCAAAATGTATAATACAAGTATACTCTCACTTGCTTATAATAGTGCACGAATTCGTGCACGGGTAGGGCCCCTCCTCCTGGCCAGTGATCAGGGCCAATCCCTGAGGGAGGTTGCCAGATAGGGAGGGACTGAGGGAGGGTCCAGGGCGGGTCCAGCCTCATCTTGCCCAGTCCCAATTGGCCAGACCTCAGCATCAAGTTAACCTACCAGTCAGAGCATTTGTTCCTGATGGTCAGTGCTCATCATAGCAACCAGTCGAACGGTCAACACTTAGCATATTAGGCTTTTACATATAGATGATTTTGTCATATCAATGAGAAAACTATCTGGTTCATAGGCTGAAGACATTAATACAAAACCTGTCAGTGGGGGGTAATACTCTCATAGGGTTGTTCAGACAATTAAAGAGCTAATATGCATAGGGGCTTAGAATAAAGCTTGTTACTTGGTACACACTCAATGAATGTTTGCTATGACTATTTTTTTAAAAGGCGTTAAAGGAGCTATCCTTCATAGGTACACAACTATGCAGAATAAGAGAAAAACATTGAGATTGGACTTCATAATCTTTAAAATCTGATGGACCTCCAGACCCCCCAGAATTTGGCCTACATACCTTCCTGTTCCTCCCTAAAGTGGTAATTCAGAGTAAATTGCCTCACAAATTAAACATATTCTTACCAAAGAACATCGGAATATCCAACTTATCTTCTCTGTCTACTTTTCTCTTAATCATAACAATATAGACAGCATAGAGCATGGCTCCAGCAAGAGACCAAATGGAACCTGTAAAGATCCACATAATGATTTAAAGCATTTGTTCATTAACTCATTCAACACACACTTATTTAAAATCTAACAATGGGTTGGATCCTATTTCAAGAAATGAGTGTACGAATGTGAAAAGATAAAGTACAGCCCACCCTATCTTTATCTCCAGGGGTATGGAAAGAGTTTAAAGTGTAAACAAATAAACGCAAAACATTCACCTCAATGATCTAACCCCCTGGTCAGCAAATTGTAGCTTGCGAGCCACATGTGGCTTTTTGCCCCCTTGAGTGCGGCTCTTCCACAAAATACCATGGCCTGGGCAAGTCTATTTTGAAGAAGTGGCGTTAGAAGAAGTTTAAGTTTAAAAAATTTGACTCTCAAAAGAAATTTCAATTGTTATACTGTTGATATTTGGCTCTGTTGATTAATGAGTTTGCCGACCACTGATCAAACCAAACACACATATTATAATACTAAAATTCATATAAGTAACACTTCGTTTTTTAAATTTTGAAATGCACACTTTCTATTTCCCTTCCATAAACAATTTGCCACCTGACACGGTCCAACTTTAACAATGCTTCTTTCCCTATCACTTGTCACTTTTATTTTTTCTGTTAATCCTCACCAGAGGATATTTTTCCATTGGTTTTTAGAGAGAGTGGAAGGGGGGAGTGACATAGAGAAATATTGATGTGAGAGAGAGACATTGATTGGTTGCCTCCCGCATGCACCCCAACTGGAACTGGGATTCGAGCCTGCAACCAAGATATGTGCTTTTGACCAGAATCAAATCCAGAACCCTTCTGTCCACAGGCCAACACTCTATCCACTGAGCCAAACAGGTAGGGCACATGTGTCATTTTTAATATATATTCCACTACCAATTTTAAGGGCCTGTTAAAGTCCCACGTCTGCCACAAAGCATCCTCTCTCCTCTGCTGTATTTCCGTCCTACCTGTCTTCTATTTAGGGCAATTTAATATTCACTGTAGTTAAATGTCATCTAATTTTATTCTCTAGGGGCTTCACTTTGTAAATCTTAGCTACTGATTATAATCAAGAATTCCTTGAAAACTGCAAATACTTAATGTATACTTTTTACTGTCCCAAAATATCTAACATAATGCAGGGCTCACTGTATATAATAAATATTGATTCTCTTTAATGTAATAACTCATTCTCACAGAACATAATACCGCTTTCATGTATTTTTTCCAAAAAGGTACAACATAAATTTAACCATAAAGAAATATCAGACAAACCCAAAGTGAGGAACATTCTACAAAACAAAAGGACAGAAAACTTCAAAAGTGTTAAGGTTATAAAAGACAAAAAGAAGACTGAGGGGTAGTTCCAGATTGAAGGAAACAGAGGAGACATGACAAGTTAATGCAACAAGTGATCCTGGATTAGAAAAAGAATATTAGTGAAAAAAATGGTGAAGCTGGAAAGGGACTATAGCGATTAGGTAATAAATTCTAATCAATGTTTACTCCTGATTTTTATAACTATATTTTGTAGCTATGTACATAGTTAACAAAGAATCTGGATGAAGGCTACATGAGAATTCTATGAAATATTTTTGAATGTTTTTAACATTACCTTTAAGAAAGTTTTTTAAAAAGAGCTCCAGTTAGTGCCCATCCTCTGTGTGGGAATGTGATGATATGCACAAAATTTTCTTGTATACTCTAACAGAAACTTACCTATTGTATTCCTTCCAGCAGATTTTTCAGACCCCGACAGGTTTACCAGCACAACACCTCCAATGCTATGAGAATAACAGTTGTTACTGATGAGCAAAATAACAAATCCCTTTAAAGGACTAATCATAAAGATGAAAATTATTTATAAATGATCAAGACTAATTTTGGGATAAAACTGTCAAATAATTTGTGATTTAATTAATAGCTAACAATTTTTAAAATTCTTACTCAAGGATATATTTATTGATTTGAGAGAAAGATTGCTGTGAGAAGGAAACCTAGATGGATTGCCTCCCGAGGACCAAACCTGCAACCTAGACATGTGCCCTGACCAGGAACTGAACTCACAACCTTTTGGTCTACAGAACAATGCTCCAATCAAATGAGCCAGCAGTCAGGATAATATCTAGTATAAGAGCTATAGTATTAACTAATTTAACCCACACAAAATGTACAATATTACCTTATACAAAGGTGTTATTGTTATTACCATTACCATTTTACACGTGAGAAAACTAAGCACAAAGGAAGGAAGTACTTGACCAAAATCATATAGCTGAGATCTAGGAAGTTCTTCCAGAGTCCAAGGGAAGTGCTCAGGGATACAGAGCAGAGTTATAACTCAAACCTAACTCTGACAGCTAATACCAGTCTCTCCATTAAATCATCCTGCTACTTTCTCTGATTTTTAATTTTCTCTCACAAAAACAATAGCTTAATCAAACCAACACATCTTTTTTGAGTCCTGTCCGTGAGCAAAGCTCTATCTAGGCTTTCGGTGGCACAAAGGTTTTGACTTTCAGGGGCTTACAATCTCATAGAGAAGACAAGATAAACATTCACAAAGTTAAATAAAAATAAAAGATTAAAACATAGTTATGGACAATATTGATGCTACCCAATAATATAAAGATGCCAAATAAAAAATAAATGAAAGATTGAGGCTGAGGCAATCAGAGAAGACTGCATGTTAGATTTCTCAAAGTGGGAGAAATAAAGGCTAAAACCCAAACAAAAAGGGGAACTGTTGTAAGAAAAGAAAATGGAAATTTGGAAGATTATAAATATCACGTTGTCACATTACCTTAAATGTGAACATCAGTACAATACTTAGTAAGTTTGCAGTCACATGAATGGCAACCAACATGTCATTTAGGTCCTTCCCTCAGGTTACCCTCTCCAGGGAGGTTTAGAAAACTAGTCTAGGATAAGACACGGCTAAGTAGCATAATGTCCATTTAAAACTTTCTGCTATCCTCATCTTTCTTTACTTATACAGTATATGGTAACATAAATTATCCTCTCTCACAACCAGAAAAATTTCATATATAGTATTTTTAAACAGAGTAAATAAGCTATTACACTACATTCTTACCTTAAAATTACAGCTAATAATTTAGAAAGAGTAAATCTATCTCCACTGTTACTTGGAAATACTGCAGCAAGGATTAAGGTAAAAAGTCCTATGGAGAGAAAAAGATGAAAAAAGACACATTGGCTTAAATACTGTCAAAATTATTTACTATAAATTTAATAATTAACATAAATAAATTATACACCTAAATTTTAAACTAATTTTTGTCATTTTTTAAATAACTAAGAATAAGCCTGGCCGGCATGGCTCAGTGGTTGTGTCTTGACCTATGAACTAGGAGGTCACAGTTCAATTCCTGAGCTATGGGGTCAATCCCAATGTGGGAAATGTAGGAGGCAGCCAATCAATGATCCTCTCTCATCATTGATGTTTCTCTCTCTCTCCCTCTCCCATCCTCTCTTTAAAAAAGACAAAAAACAAAAAAAGACTAAAAATAAGACTGCAGTTACCTAGGTTGAAATGTTCATACACAAAAACAGCCTCTAGGCCTAGCTGGTTTGGCTCAGTGGTAGAGCATTGGCCTGCGGACTGAAGGGTCCCAGATTCGATTCTGGTCAAGGACATGTACCTCAGTTGCAGACTTGATCTCCAGTCCTGGTCAGAGCATATGTGGGAAACAACCAATCAATGTTTCTATCTGTCTCTCCCTCTTCCTTACACTCTCTAAAAATCATTGGAAAAATATCCTTGGGTGAGTACTGACTACAACCAAACTAATACACTCAAAAAACCAACCTCTAACCTATGTTTATTTCAACAGTATAGATCAAATAGAGTCCTTTAAAAAAAACTAATAAAAGAGTTAAACTGAACATTCAGAATAATATTCTGACATCATCATAATCAAACTTGTATGTTAAAGTTATTTTTATAACTTCAAAACACTTTTGTTATCTTCTAGATTTGAAAGGTGATTCAATTTTAAAAATAAAAACACCTTTCATAGGGCAAATATAGTTCTAAGATAAGCAATTACATTTAGCCAAAGGACCTAGAATAAGATCTTTGCAAAGAATATGTGAAAGATAGGGCAACAATAATACAATAATATTGGTATACAAAATAGTGTAAAGTATTTGTTAGAAATATAAATAGCACAAGGCTATGGCATAAAACTATAAAGATTAAGAAATAGTTACAATATACTTATGTAATAAGAACAAATGACATAATTTATAACAAGATAAAAAAGTGTGTATATATGCATATTAGAAATATATCTTGATTCATAATGCAGATTTTAAAGATACATTTCTTACCAGAAGTTGAGGACAAAATGTTAACAATGGCAACTTGTGTGTCAGAAAGTGCTTCTTGATATGACAAATTTGCCAAAAACCACTGAAGAAATAGAAAACAAAGTGAAACCTACTGAATGGTGTGTTTATATTTGCCATTACAATTTATGATTGACCCTTTTTTTTCTTCCCATAAACATTAACATGAGAGGTTTTAAAATCTGCTTTGTATTGAAAAAATCACAGGCCCAAAAAGAGAAAAATTATAATCAGACCTAAGATATTTTCCCTCCAAAAATTATTAATAATTGGTTAAAAATTATTGTTCAGGTCTTTTTTAAAACGAAGATAAAATTTAATATCAACTCAACTTTAAAATTTTCTTTATCCAAGCACTGCTAGAACTCTATTAAATTTATATAAACCAAATTTAAGCTGGGGGAAATTCTCAAACATTAGAGAATGTACAAACGAGCATAGCAGGCTGAGAAATGAACAAGATGATGCCTATGAAGATGGATGGAACTAGCTAGCTAGATTGCTAGATGAAATGCTATATTCACTTCAGAAATTTAAAAATGTCCAAGAAAATGGTGAATGTACTGGCTAATTGTAATTGTTTTTCTGATTCTCAGTTTGAGAAAACAATACAGAATTCTCACAATTTAGACATAATAAAATAAGTTTTCCAGCTCGGAGAATTTTTTTTCTTCTTTCTTTCCTTTTACTCATCTAGGCTAAGATATTCTTATATTCCCAACCCTGTGGCTACTTTGATTTAGAAAATAAGAAATGAAACCTCTTTTGATGAAGGCTGCATATTACCACAACTCATCCATTTTCCTGTTAATGGACACTTTTTGACTATTTCAAACAATGTTGCTATGAACATTCTAGTGTATGACTCCTGAGGCGCGTGCGCGCGCGCGCACAAACACACACACACACACACACACACACACACATATATATATGTCACTAAAATATATACTAAGAAGCAGATTGCTCAACAATAACTCACTACTTGACTGCTTTTTGGCATCACTGTTACACATTAACTAGAGAGCCATCTCCTAATGTGTCTCAAAACTTATGTGAGCAGTATAATTATTAGCATTTACATTTCATTTCTAACATAGACACATGCTTTTAGAGCACTGCTAAATGGTAGCAGTAGAAGAAATGAAAACTAGAGAATTGAATGAAATTGAACAAAAGACTATATGAAAAATTAATACAATAAAGATCTGATTCTTTAAAAAATATTATTAAAGTTAACAAGCTTCTGGCTCTATTCACTAAGAAAAAAGAGAACTCATATTAACAAATTCAGAAATGAAAGATAAGTTACCACAGGCATAAACAGATATACAAAGGAACACACTAGAATACTATAAAAGACTATCTGCCACCAAATTCAGTAATTTATAAGCAATGGATAAGTTCCTAGATATATATAACCTTCCTAGACTGAATCATGAAGAATTGAAAAATCTAAATATACTGATCAACAGTGAGGAAATTGGAACCATCAAAAACCTCCCCCAAAAATAAAAATGCAGGATCGAATGGCTTCACTAGTGAATTCTATCAAACATTCAAAGAAGATCCTAGCTTCTCAAACTCTTCCAAAAAACGAAAGAAAAGGCAATCCTTCCTAACATATTTTATAAAGCCAACATAACTCTGAACCAAAACCTGGCATGGATAACAGAAAAGGGACATTACAAACCAAAATCTCTGATGAACACTCAGGCAAAAATCCTAAACAAAACACTAACAAAAGGAATACAACAATATATTAAAAAAATAATATATCATGATCAACTGGGGTTCATTCCAGGGACATAAGGATGGTTCAACACACACAAATCAATCAATATAATACTCTAACTTAACAAAATAAAGAATAAAAATCATATGATCTTATTACTAGGTGCAGAAAAAGCTTTGATAAGATACATCTATTTATGATTAAAACACTCAATAAAATGGGTATATTAGGAAAGTAGCTCAACATAATAAAGGCCATGTATCACAAACCCTCAGCCAATATCAAACTCAATGATGAAAAATTGAATGTTTTTCCTCTAAAATCAGAAAAAAGACAAGGATGCTCACTCTCACCACTCTTATTCAACGCTAGTGACCCAGTGCACAAATGTGTGCACATTGAAAGGAAATGAATTAGAAGGTGGCTGGTGGGGTGGGACTGGGCAAGATGGGCTGGACATGCCCTGGAGCCAACCTCCCATGGTCCTTTCCTGGCTGGCTGCACCTGGGGTGGCACCATGCTTCAAAGGGAATCTGGGGAGTGAGCAGGATCCCTCTAGCAGGTGGGATCCCTCAGCCTGGCCTCTGGGGCTGAAAAACTGTCCAACATTCCCTGAGGGGTCACAGATTGTGATGAGAGGGCACTCTGTAAAGTTGCCGTCATACATAAACACAAGTGTGCAGTAAACTAGATTTGGTACAGACAGTGCCCCAAGAACAACATAACCCACAGCTAAAGGTGGAATCGCACAGCACCACGAGGAATCAGGCTCCCTCCTCTCTGGTTTCTGAGTGTGTCACCCAAGAACCAATGCTGCCAAGTCACTCCAGCTCAACAACACCTGCATTGAGCGTCTGCTTCCTGGTAGTCAGTGTACATAACAGCTAACAGTTGGACAGACTGTTAGCATATTAGCCTTTTATATATATATAACCAGAGATCATCCGGTCAACCTCCTGCAGCTTCTCCTCCTGCCCAGACCTACCCCAGATTGGTCCCCCAACCCCAGTCAACCACCTGTACCCCCCGCCCCCTGGCCAGCCCTGCCTCTGATGGGCTCCCACCACCCCATTTGGGGGTGGGGCCAGCTGGCCCACTGTCCACAGCCCCTCCCTATGGCTGGCCCTGCCCCAACCGGCCACCCACCTCAACTGGGGGCAGGGCCAACTAGCCAATCACCCTCAGGCCCTCCCCCAAGTCAGCCCAGCCCTAATTGGGCCCTGATCAGGGTGGGCCAACCGGCCAACCTCCCACCGTCTCCTCCTCCTGACAGGTCCAGCCCCAATCCACCCATTAACGAATTCATGCACTAGGCCTCTAGTGTGTGTGTGTATGTGTGTATTTCTGAAAGTCCTTGCCAGAGCAATCAGGCAAAAGAAATAAATAAAAGGCATCCAAAGACCTAAATATAAGACTTGAAACAATAAGTTACATAGAAGAAAACATAGGTACTAAACTTAAGGGGGTCTTAGAGAACATTTTATCGATATAAATTTGATCCCAAAGGCAAGGGAAGAGCAAAAGTTTCTGCACAAGAAAAGAAACTGCCAACAAAACAAAATGCAACCAACCAAATGGGAGATGATATTTGCAAACAACATCTCCAATAGGGATATCCAAAATACATATATACATTCACACACACACTTACACACACATATACAATAAATAAATAAATAAATAAATAAATAAATAAATAAATAAATAAATAAAAATTTTAAAAAACAGAGGTAATATGCAAATTAGGCCAGGACTCCATAACGGGTCATGACCAGACAGGAGGAGGTTGCACATGCAGGTGAGACCCAGAGCAGAGAAGGAGACAGAGGCAGGGGGGACTGTCAGAGCTGGCTCGGTGGCTTAGGTGACCTTGGAGCAGACACAGGCAGGGGGGCCGGAGGATGCTGCAAGTCAGGCACAGGCCCTGGCCCCCCACGGGGTGCCTCCTCACATGATTTTAATCGCACGTTCGGCCTCTAGTATGTGTGTGTGTGTGTGTGTGTGTGTAATATATATAGAAGCCATATATATATATATTGCATTCACACAACTCAACACCAAACAAACAATCCTCAATAATAAAATGGGCAGAGGACATAAACAGACACCTCTCCCAAGAAGACATATAAAAGTCCAACAGATATATAAAAAAAATGTTCAACTTCACTAGCTATGGGGGAAATGCAAACCAAAACTACAATAAGATAATACCTCACACCTTTTAAAATGCTTAACATCAACAAGACAGGTAATAACAAGTATTGGTGATAGAAGACGATTTGACTATGGGTGGTGGGCACACAATGCAATATGCAGGTCATGTATTATAGCATAGAAATGTACACTTGAAACCACTATGAACTTACTAACTAACTAGAGGCCCAGTGCATGAACTCATGCACAGATGAGGTCCCTCAGCCTGACCAGCAACTGGGGTTGATTGGGGCCATCTTGCCCAGTCCCTATCAGGGCAATTGGGCCAGCCAGCTGGGAGGGAGGGATCATGGGCAGTTGGTCTGCCGTGGGAGGTTGGCTGTGGGAATGCACTGACCACCAGAGGGCAGCTTCTATGTTGAGCATCTTCTCAGTCGGTGGTGGTCAAAGCATGTCATAGCAACTGGTCAACTAGTCATTCCATCATTCAGTCGTGAGGGTCACTTAGGCTTTTATATATATAGATGTCATCCCAATAAATTTGACCATATTTACATGAATTTAATATAAAATTGTTGAACCCCTATTTGAAGAGATCAATATATACAATAAACTCTTAGCTGGATATTTACTAGCCCACATTCATAGTACAGTGTAAAATAACTCTATTCATTACTCTGACCATGAGGCAATAGCAATTCTGAACATAAGTAGTTTTAGTGTTAAAGTATTAAATTCTTTGAGATGTGACAAGCATTTAAGTTCAATACTCTAATTCCTCAATGATGTCAGATAGCAGAGTTTAATGCCATGATTAAGCAATCTAAAAGTTTTACACTTCAATAGTATATTTGGTATGTACATTATCTTAAAATTCAAGGTCCAAATATATAATAAAAGTAAAATAAAGAGAAGACCTACCACAAAGCAAAAAAAAAAGCTAATTTTTGCTACTTGAGTTGCAGTAAGTTTCCCCACAGTTTTGAGTAAGGATTCTTGTTCTTTCACAGTTGGATGTGACATGCGAGACAACTTAGCTTCCAGTGCATGGCTTGATGGAAGCTGTCGAATCTCCATGATATTACTGAACCTTACACGAGACTTTTTGGGAGCTTGAAGGAAGAAGTATAGTACAAATCATTAAATGTTTCTCCTCACATCCAACTAAAGCCACATTTTAATTTACCAATAAATGCATATTATTTAATCCATCTATAATCAGACTTGAACAAAGAAAAACCAGTTATATCATTAACTGAGGCAGCTTTGCTCATTCAAAAAAGTTAACAGAAAAAATGTTTACATCTATAAAAATGTTTTAAAGATTTAAGGTACGACCAATATTCAAACAAGATTTCTGCAACTGTATACACAGTATACACAACTGCCTAGTTCAGGATTACAGTTTGATTATTACTTTAGCATTTATAGTAAAACTTTTGATTTTTCCTCATAGATAATCAATTTATGTAAATTAGTTTCCATTCAAGAATACAGAATATTCCTCTTTAGGTCCATACATTGCAAAAGATGATTATGGATAAATACAGCCTCATGTTGAAGCTGGCTGATATTCTTTATTAAATTCACAGAATCAGCAAAATTCCTACAATTGGCTATCAAGTTTTTTTATGGCAAAGTTGAAGATAATATTGTTCATTAGGAAAAAAAGTATATATATATATATATATATATATATATATATATATATATAGCAACGAGATTTCTGGTATTTGGAAATTACTTCTAGTTGAATTAATAAAAACTCTAGTCATACTTCTGGAAGACTACAGGCCAAGCCAATATCATGTGAACAGGACAACTGCCAAGTGATCTAAAAAAATCACTAAGTTTTGTAATGGCTTGAATGAAGCTAAGATTTCCACCCATATCTAAGTTATGAAATTCTAAGTTTTGCTTACTTTTTTCAGTATCTATATTTGTGCTCTCAGGTTTTTCACTGGGAAGATCATGAAATTTCACAGGAACATACAAAGGTTCGCTCTGAAACATACCAGAAACAGAAACAAATATAAACAAACATGTAATAGCTGATAATAGTGGATAAAATTTAAAAGGATGGTTTGTAGGCACAGATACCACTCAAAACATGGCTGTTCACCACCATGTTTTTACAGCATAATTTTTTCAAAATGCATTTTCAAGACTTAAAGGAGAAACTCAAATGATGCACATAGGTACAATGACAGAAAAGAACCAATTTCAAGTTTGTAAGTGTAATAATACCTCATTGATACCTTACGACATTTAACATTTAAATGTCATAAAAGCAGACCTATCTCTCAATTAACAAATTATCTCCCATTATTTTTCACTCATCCTATATAAAAGGTAATATGCAAACTGACAGTCACACCCTTGCACAAGATGGCCACCCCCATGTGGTCACAAGATGGCCGGCAGAAGAGGGCAATTGTGGGCAATCAGGCCAGCAGAGGTGGGCAGTTGGGGTTAACTGGGCCTGCAGGGGAAGGAGGCAGTTGGGGAGGGGGGGGGAGAAACCAGGCCTGCAGGAGAGGACTGTTGGGGCGGACCAGGACTGCAGGAAAGGGCAGTTGTGGGTGACCAGGCCTGCAGGGAAGAGTAGTTGGGGGTGACCAGCAATTGGGCCGGCAGGGGAGCAGTTAGGCTGTCAATCAGGCTGGCAGGGGAGTGGTTAGGGGGTGATTAGGCTGGCAAGCAGAAGTGGTTAGGGACAATCAGGCAGGCAGGCAGGCGAGTGGTTAGGACCAGCAGTCCCAGATTGTGAAAGATATGTTCTGTGGGATTGGGCTTAAACTGGCAGTTGGACATCCCCTGAGGGATCCCAGATTGGAGAGGGTGCAAGCTCGGCTGAGGGACACCCTCCCCCATGCACTAAATTTGTGCACCAGGCCTCTAGTTATTATAATAAATATATGTTGAGTCCCACTATGTCAGGCGCTATCTTACTTCCTGAGAATATAAGAGTGCATGAAGTCTCTTCAGTGATCATGTAGCCCAAAGGGGAAGGCAGACAGTGAACAGATAATCACCTATATAATATGTATATATATTTGCCAAGTTGTTTTCTCTTATAACTTAAGATTCAACTAAAACCAAAAATTCCTGAAAACTTTTTTAGCATTAATAGATAAGAAAAAAAAAAGAAGCTACCTCTTACCAGTTCTTGCTATGTACCAGATACCAAGTCCAAAGAGGTTAAACATACATTTCTCATTAGCCCTTGCAACAAGTTTATAAAATTGTATTTTTAAAGAATTTTTCTAGAAGCTGAGATATAATAACACAGTGGCAGACAATAAAATTAAGCCAGGTTTGTCTAACATGTTCTAAAGGTCTATATTTTTAAATGGTTTTAAATTCCTCAACTGTTTTTTGCAAATACTGTTCAGATAATCCATATTTAAAAAAATAATTCTCCAACCCTGCTGTTTTTTAAATTCACATAAAATTGTGTTTTATATCTTTGATTTTTCTTTTAACTCCTGGTATAGAACTCCACCAATAAAAAATATTCAGTAAATGAAGAGACTAAAGAATCTGGAAATAGATGTAGTCTCTTGTTATACTGAATTTTTCATTACAGCATTCAGCCTAGAATGATTTTGACCTATCAATCTTAAAGATAATAGCAAAAATTAGTAGAAAAGTAGTTAGAAGAGTAGGCTGCCATCTTAGCTCCGGTTTCTACACTGAAAGAGACAACTGATAATACTCTCTGTTGATGCTTATGATCCCAGAGAAATGAGGTGACATTTTCCCTAAGCTTCATAAACTCTTCACAGCATCTGGTAACCTACCCTGAATACAAATGTAGTTTTAGAAGCTGGACAAACAAAAAACCAAGCTAATGCATATAAATTTGTATTAAACTTTAGAGCAACTTTAAAATTCTTTTCAGACAAAATGCCACATTTTGAACAATACTTTAAAAAAATGTTTTAGTGATGGTCTAAATAAATATTTTAATATATTATCTCTCCAATGAGATTATAAATGCTTAATATAAGTAAATGCATTACTTTATCTGCTTATTATGTCTCCTTCTCCTTCCCAAATGTGTGACTCACTACTAGAATATAAACTATATTTCCAAAGTAAAAACAAGTACTTAAAAAAGATTAAGCACTCTTTAAAAACTTATGGGAAAAATGAAAAATATGCTTATAAATTCTCAGTGTCAACCAAATATATGTGTATCTAAGTGATAATAATCCTATATAATAAAAGGCTAATATGCAAATCAACTGAATGGCAGAACAATCGGTCGCTATGATGAGCACTGACCACCAGGGGGGCAGATGCTCAATGCAGGAGCTTCCCCCTGTTTCCCTTGGGGAGCATGCCCAAGCCATCAGTCGAATATCCCCCAAGGGCTCCCAGGCTGAGGCACACCCCCCTTCCCCCAAGTGCAGGAATTTCATGCACTGGGCCACTAGCATAATAATAAACATGAAGTGACAAAGCTTTTAAGAAACGTAGGACATGCCGAAACCGGTTTGGCTCAGTGGATAGAGCGTCGGCCTGTAGACTGAAGAGTCCCAGGTTCGATTTCAGTCAAGGGCATGTACCTTGGTTGCGGGCACGACCCCAGTAGGGGGTGTGCAAGAGGCAGCTAATCAATGTTTCTCTCTCATCGATGTTTCTAACTCTCTATCCCTCTCTCTTCCTCTCTGTGAAAAATCGATAAAATGAAAAAGAAAAAAAAAAGAGGAAAAAAAAAAAAAAAAGAAACGAAGGACAAAGAGCCTCTCATCATTATTTTCACTTCTTAACTATTTCCCTCCCACTCTCTCCCCTCTAGTAGTTGAATTGCTTATTTTCTGGCCTCTGGTATTTCTAAACAAAGAGTACCAAGCTAAAATAATCATGGAGGGCACCCAATATTTATATATATATTCTAATGTAGCTTTGATGTTATCAAAGCTATTCAGTTCTAAAGCTCACCTCCATCTGCTCCATTCCTGACAAGAAACACTTACCAAAGAGCTATTCATAGTTGTATCTGTGGTGCAAGCAGCAAAATAACCTTCAGCATCTGCAAACTACAGATAACAGGACAAATTAAACTGGTGATAATGTAGGACTAGTGTCAGTAACAGCTTAAAAGAATAGACTAAAAAATCCAGAGTAAATCTATAAGAATATAACTATTATGAATAATGCCAAGTACTCAACCATGCAAGATTGGTATTACCTTCATTTTATAGAAACTGAGACTGAGAGACTTTATCTAAATAACATAGAGTTAGGATTAAACCCAAGTTAGTCTAACTCCAAAATGTATGCTCCTTTCACAATACTATTATAAATTTTAGATTAGCAGGGAAAGGAAAGAGTGAGTGGTTAATGAAAAAGACAAATAACATCTTTGTATTATCCTGATAACAGTATTAACCAAGAACTCTCTAAATGGACCTCAGGGGCTGGACCATGCTCTGAGAACCACGGTGCTAGTGGTGTATAAGCATGCTTTTATTCATACCCACAGCTACCCTATCATTATCCTTGTTTAATCTCTAGAGGTTAAATAACTTGCCCTAGGTCACACCATCATCAGTGACAGAACAAGATTCAAATACATAACCCATGCTATTAAGAATGCTTGAATATCAATAAGAAAAAGTCAATGTAGAAGAATGGACAAGATATATAGACAACTGACAAAAGCATTCTATTATGCAATAAATATATGAAAGAGTAACCCAAGCCATGCATATTAAATAAGATGCCACTGATCACTTAACAAGCTGGCAAATGTTAGGATTTTGGTAATGAAACAAATACACACATGAAAAAAAAAAATGCAGGATACATGCCAAAAAACTGTCAATGGTCGTTCCTTGAATGGTAGAATTTATTTTTATTTATTTTTTTATTTTTTTAAATACATTTTATTGATTTTTTACAGAGAAGAAAGAAGAGGGATAGAGAGTTAGAAACATCGATGAGAGAGAAACATTGATCAGCTGCCTCCTGCACACTTCCCACTGGGGATGTGCCCGCAACCATGGTACATGCCCTTGACCGTAATCGAACCTGGGACACTTCAGTCTGCAGGTCGACGCTCTATCCACTGAGCCAAACAAGTCTCGGCTGAATGGTAGAATTTATTATTTTTGTCTTTATTTTCTAAATTTTTGACAATATACATGTATTCATATACATATAACATTTCTACATGTAATACTACAACATATATACATTCTGTGTCTATATATTCCTCTTAAAAATAATATACATACACACACATATTTTTCATAAGTTAAATATTTGTGGACATATAAGTGTATACTTCCAGGCTTTACCTTAAAAAGTTACTGAAAAGCCCCTGACAAAAATCAAATGACTGCCATTTCTCAAGAATGCACTCATCAGATAAGATATAATAGTATTTTAACCTACACAAAAAATAGTAGACAAAAGAATAGGAGTGACAGAGACAGAAAGTAAAACAGTACTTACCAGGGAAAGAAGGGAGGAGGGACATGGATTTGTTTAATGTGTTTCTGTTTGGAATGATGAAAAAGTTCTGGAGTGGATAGTGGTGATGTTTGCACAGCAAAATACTTACTGCCACGAAACTATATACTTTTTTAAAGGTTTCAAATTGCCCCAGCTGCTTTGGCTCAAAGGATAGTGTCAGCCTGCAGACTGAAGGGTCCCAGGTTCGATTCCAGTAAAGGGCACATGCCCAGGTTGCGGGCTCAATCATCAATAAGGGGCATGCAGGAGGCAGCCAGTCAATGACTCTTTCTCATATCTGATGTTTCTATGTCTCTCTCCCACTCCGTTACTCTCTGAAATCAACAAAAATACATTTTTAAAATAAAATAAAAATGTTTCAAATAGGAACTTTTGTTACATATATTGCCCACAAAAAAAATGGGAAAAAGAAAAAAATGGTTAAAGTGATAAATTTGATGCTGTGTATATTTTACCACAATTTTAAAAAGGGGGGGGCAGAGAATAAAAAAGGATTGAGACAGTTTTATATTCTTTATACAGTTTCCATTTTTAAAAATAAGCATGTTGTATTACATCATTGAAAGAACATAATTTGATTAGCCAAACATCTGAAACATGCCCTGAAATATGCTATTTTCATTTAAACAAATAAACCTTAAATTTTGCTTTTAAAATCAGCATTATAACCAATTAGATGATAATCATCCAGTCTACAAAAGATCAGAGATCCAGATATTTTTCTTCTTCCTTACTTTCATCATCATCTCCACATTAAATGATTTAGGCTAGTTCAAAAATGTTTAACAACTCAGAGGATGTCATGAGATAAAGAAAAGAGGGTGATTATATACTTTTGATTTATCACAAGATATTCTGATAGGAAGGTGATTAAAAGAATACCTTTAAAGTTTTGGACAAAAGTCTTTCTTATAATATGCTACGTTCACTCACTTAACTGAACAACTTAAAATTGAACTGTCCTTCAAGAAACTAATACATCTTTAAACTTTAAAAAACTATATCTAAACAAACATTTAAAATTGAAAACTTACAAAAGCAGCATGCTTTCCTCGAAATCCTCTTGTACACTGTTGTCTCCATGGCTTCCAAACAATAAAACCCAAAAGGTACAGAACAAACATCGATGTTTTTGCAAAGGTGCTGAAGAATGGTTTGTTGTACTGAGTAAAAACATACTAGAGAGAAAAAAGGTACATAAATTATGAGATGACTTTAAACCAAATTTCTTATCTCCAATAAAACAAAGCCATTACATGATTTTTAACTCTAAAAGTTCATTTGGAAAGAAAAACTCTAAAGGGAATATAAAAGTGTTTTAGATTCATTTCTGAATTTATATTTGCCTTGAAAAAAAAGAATACGTAATATACCTAAACAAAGCACTAACGATAAGTTCTGTTCAACATTCAATGAAAACTTACTATGCAGTAGTATTTATGCTAGAAGCTAAGGAAAAATAAGACAAGCTTTCCTGAAAGGAGAGTACACATCATGTGCTATAAACCATGACAGGGGAGTACCGTGTTTCCCCGAAAATAAGACATCCTCCGAAAATAAGACCTAGCGCATGGAAAGATAAGACATCCCCTGAAAATAAGACCTAGTGCAACTTTGGGAGAAAAAAATTAATATAAGACACTGTTTTATTTTCGGGGAAACACGGTAGTAGCAAAGGGAGACGGGCCATTTTAAAGGTTATGGAAGTTTCCTAAAAGAAACTATTCTTGCGCTGCCTGAACAGTTAGCCCAAAGTAACAGGAAATGAAATGGAATGGTGTATCAAGTAAACTGTATGAAATTTAAAGTTATTAGGAAATTATACAAAATATATAATTTTCGTTTAAATTAGAAATTATCAGTATGAACTCATGATGTTTTCTTTCCTAAAAAAAAGTTTTATTTACTTGCACTGAAAGACCCAGAAAAAATGACAACCCTGGAGGAATGGGCACCTCTAGAATCCAGATAGTGATCTGAACTATGGGTTATTGAAGCAATGACTACACCCATGGATAGGGCAGGAAATGTACCAGATGAGCTTGGGATGTCTTGTTCCAGAAAGCAGCTAGGATGTCAAAGATTAAAGAAATCATGTTAAAAGGGTATTAGAGACAATATGAAGGGGCTCCCAATGGTCAAAGATAGGAAATTTAAGTGTCAAAAGAAATAACTACAACATCGTTTCAAACAAAAGTCCATGAATGTATAATGATATTCAAAAACCCCTCAATGGTTACTACTGGAAGTTGTTAGGCAACATTATTTTAAAATGGCTAAAGGAAAAGAATCTATGTTCCAGGATAACCAAACAGTAGTTATGAAAAAGTCTTCTTTAACCTGTTAACCGGGGAGTTCCCTTTTTAATGAGGCAACCTGTAACGGGCGCGTACTTTTTCACTAGGACGTGCCTGTATGTCACGCCCGGAGGATGTAATTTCATATTATTTTTTTTATTTATACTTAATGAAAATAAATGAAATATATATATATTTTCGTTTATCTATATTAGGGGTGTCGAACTCAATCAGAGAAGGGGCCAAAATCTAAAATCCAGCCTAAATCGCGGGCCGAATGGTTTACTGAACAGTCATAAACTGTCATTGTGATGGAAACGCAGCGGAGTGCAGTGATGACAGCGCGGTGCGGGCCACATTGCAAGGCCTGGCGGGCCGGATTTGGCCCGCGGGCCTTGTGTTTGACACATGTGATCTATATATATAAAGCACAAAGGAAAATACAAAATTACAAAAAAAAAAAAATAGAAAAGAATACCGACAAAAAAAAAAAATGGACATATTGAATTAAAAAATTATAAATTTTACAAACAATGATAAAGATTACAAAAAAAAATAGCTCAGTGGATAGAACGTCGGCCTTCAGACCTAAAGGTCCCGGGTTCGATTCTGGTCAAGGGCATGTCCCTTGGTTGCCGGCACATCACCAGTGGGGGGTGTGCAAGAGGCAGCTGATCGATGTTTCTCTCTCATCTCATCGATATTTCTAATTCTCTATCCCTCCCCTTTCCTTCCTCTCTGTAAAAAATCAATAAAATATATTTTTTTAAAAAGATTACAAAAAATATATACCATTTCTCTTGGGGCACAACATATATTTCAAGGATGTATTCATACGTCCTACCCATTCCCGATATTGTTTACGTTTGACATATTTATAGGTCCCGTATGGTTAACAGGTTAAGGAATTCCAGCTAATAAATGCAGAAGGAATGATCCTTAGAAAAATCACCATTTTACCATTTCTAATGAAATACTCTATCTGGGCAATAATCATAAGAATATTCAACTATTAGTCACAGGTTGATAAGGAACTTTATAGTTCTCATATTGGCATTACCCATGGTAAGACTTGCAGCCATTATGTGTCTTGTGTTGTGATATGAAAGAGATATGAAAGAAAGTGCCTGGTACCACCAAGGTATTTTTTTCCTAAATACTGAAACTGAATCAAATCAAGACTGTACACCAATCTACCATTTTATAGGAAACTAGAGGCCCAGTGTATGGATTCGTGCAGCAGTGGGGTCCCTCAGCCTGGCCTGCGGGGATGGGACTGAAATCAGCTCTCCAACAACCTGTAGGGTCCTAGATTGCAAAAGGGTGCAGGCCAGTGCATGATCGGGGCCGGGAAGGGACCACGGGAGGGCTTCAGGGTAAGTCAGGCCCAACTCACCCAGTCCCGATTGGCCGGACCCCAGCAAGCTAACCTACAGGTCAGAATGTCTGCCCCCTGGTAGTCAGCGTGCGTCAAAGCGACTGGTTGAATGGTAGAACGGTTGGACATTTAGCATATTAGGCTTTTATTATATAGGATAAAAAAGAGGAGTCATTCCTAAATGACACCCTAAGGAAGCAATCAGTCAAATCCAGAATGTGTTATGGACTAAATGCTTGGGTCTCCCCAAAATTAATGTTAAAATCCTAACTAACCTCCAATATAGTGAGTAGAGTCTTGATGAATGAAATTAGTTCCACATATAAAAGAATCTAAAGAGCTCTGCCTTGTGAGGGCACGGTGAGAAAACTGCCACCTAAGAACTCGGAAGCAGCTCCACACCAGGCAGAATCTGCCTGCATCTTGACCATGGTCCTTTGATCCTCATAACTGTGAGAAGGAAATGTTTGTTGCTTGAGCCACAGCCTATGGTGGTTCTGCCAAAGCACCCGAAACAGACTAAGGCAGTGTGATACATCCTACAGGAAAAAGGATAGTTTCTCCAACAAATCAATGGCATGATAAAGGGAGGGGGGCAGGGGAATACAGTTAAAGAATAAAAGTGACTTAAGAATTATAACAAATGAAATGTGTGATCTTTTGTATAGATCTTATTTTTTTTTTTTTTTAATATATTTCATTGATTTTTCACAGAGAGGGAGAGAGAGGAAAAGAGTTAAAAATAACGACCAGTTGCCTCTTGCACACCCCCTACCAGGGATGTGCCCACAACCAAGGTACATGCTCTTGCCCGGAATTGAACCCGGGACCTTTCAGTCCACAGGCCAACGCTCTACCACTGAGCCAACTGGTCCCGGCTTGTTTAGATCTTAAACTAAAAAGATGTCCTTGTCATAACCAAAGAAATTGATATGTTTTGTTAGGTATGTCATAGCATGGTGATTATATTTTTTAAAATTAAGTCATTTTCAGTTTGAGATGAATATAAAAGAATTTTTACAAGAAATCAGAAGGTAATAAGATTAGCAAAATTTGACAATTGTTAAAAGTAAATGATGGGCACATGAAAATTCATTATACTACTCTCTACTTTCTATATATTAGATGTTTTCCATAATAAAAATAGATTTTCTTTTTAAAAAATGTATGTTTATTGATTTCAGAGAGTAAGGGAGAAGAAGAGTTAGAAACATCAATGCTAAGAAAGAATCATTGATCGGCTGCCCCTTTTCATGCCCCACACTGGGGATCAGCCACAACCCGGGCATGTGACTGACCGGGAATAGAACTGTGACCTCCGGGTTCAGAGGTCAACGCTCAACCACTGAGTCACTCTAGTCAGGCTGATTTTTTTTTTAATACATATTTTTTAATTTCAAAAGTTTGATTGGCATATTTGTACCAAAGAATTAGACACATTACATATGCTCTTGGATAATAAAAAATTATAAAATATCCTCTTAGTAACAGATTTTACTTTTTAAAAATAGGGACATATACACACACAAAAAAATAGGGACAAGTTTTTTATGTTTGTTTTTTTACTTTGCTTAGATATGGATTGTTAAATTATAATTTAATCAGGTGCTTTTTTGCTGTAAATTTTCTTGCCTGATTAAAAAAAACAATTTAAAACTAAAATAAAAGTTTAAAGATAGGCTTATTTCTCTGTCAACATTAAAGAGACTTTTTAACATAATGTTAATCTAAAAAAAAAAAAGGTTATAGAAGAGTTAAAATAAATGGCCTGTTTTACTCCAGAGCCTAATTCCAAACAGACTAAAAATTTATTTATTCTTTAGATACAATGTCAATGGAAACTGTTTACTTAGCTATGATGTGAGATGACCAGCAGTATCAAATGGCTTCTTCTGACATTTCAGGCCATTTTATAAGTGCTAGTTTATTTTTGTATATTAGCCTTATGACTGCAACATGCAAGTTTAAATACAGTAAATTCTGAAAATAAAATTGTCTTTTTATAGAGACCACTAGCCAAACAGAATAAAGTAACTGCACAAGTAGAAAAACTAGCTTGTGAATTCAAAATACCATGATAATGCCAACAGGTCATCAATTAAATTAAATAAAAAAATACAACCATAGCTGCTTTGGCTCCTGGATAGAGCATCCATCAGCCTATGGACTGGAGGGCCCCGGGTTTGATTCCAGTCAAGGGCACATGCCCAGGTTGCAGACTCCATCTCCAGCAGGTAGAAGCTAATCAATGATTCTCTCTCATCAATGATGTTTCTATCTCTCCCTCTCCCTTCCTCTCTGAAATCAATAAAATATATATTTTTTAAATTTAACTAAAGGCAACCACTGTACTTGATAGGAGTAATGTCTGAATCAGCAGATAAGTGTACATGCAACCATCATGCATGTGCATAACAGTGTACTGTACAACTCTGATGATTTTCACTCATATGTCCAAAAGCATGCCTACATTCTACTAAATTGTGACAAATGGTTTTGCATCCTAGATGGCTGTTCTCCTAAAAATAGCATTTACAGAGAAAGAAAATTAACTTAGGGGAAAAAAAAAAAACACAGAGAAAGAAACACCTTCAAATATTAAATATGCATATGCTCACTTTCTAAATAACTCCTGAAAGATACAAGAAATTTGCATGAAACAACAAAGAGTATCCTTTCAGTTTCAACTTCACTCTAATTCAATATCAAAGAAAACATAAATAATTCAACAATATTCAAAACACTGCTTTCAGTAAGCATGAGAGAGAGTAATGACTAGAGAGTGATAGGACAGATGAAGAGGGATGTTATTATAATATAATGGAGCATCATTCCAGGACAAGCACTACGTACGGAAGTGAGTTCTGAGGACGCGACCCATATCACATCCACAAGCAGGAGAATAACAATCCCAAGAGCCATGCGCTTGCGCTGAGTGAAACCACTGCTCTGAGCGTTCATTCGGTTCATGATAAATACACACACCATTTGCAGTCTGTTTAGAAAAGAGAAAGGATTCTTTTTAAAAAATAATAATAACCACATAAAAAAAAGAAAATGAGGACAGAAACATCGGCATGTGTTCCAATCCTCAGTTTTAAAGTCACACAGTCATTAAAAGGTGTTTGACCAAACCAGAGGGAGTCGGACCTGCATTGCCACCATCTGTCCATCATCCAGACATCATTGCTGACAGCTACACATAAGGAACTATTTGATATTGAAACTGGGTCTCAGAACTGTTGGACATTGAAATTGAGACTCAAATGTTTTTTTTATATTATACGTTTATTTCTAGTCTGCAGTTGCAAGATTTTTTAAAGAAAAGAAATGGGGAGGGGGGATAGTTATAAAGAACCATTGAACAGACTGTCAAACTACAGTGGGAAGGCAAGGGAGGTTGGGGGGGGGGGGGGGGGAGGACGGCTGTTAAGAGATCAACCGAAAGACTTGTATGCATGCATATAAACATAACCAATGGATACAAGACACTGGGGGAGCGCAGGTGTAGGTATATGAGGAGGGGGGGGGCGGGTAGGGGAGGCTGGGGGGAGGTCAAGGGGGGTAAAAGGAGACATATGTACTACTATTTGTAATGCTTCAAACAATAAAAAAAAATTTTTTTAAAGGTGTTTGATTTACCTTATTTTCAAGGCCTTTCTGAGATCTTCAAGAGCAATGCCTGCAAACTTGGCGGATGGGAGTCTAAACGGCGGTGAAGAACTCAACGCACCTGATGGGGGTGAAGAGCTTCAAGTGAGATTCCTCACGTCTTTTGCACCCGTCTTTAAAACGAACGCAAATGAAAGAAAATACCGGTGTGTTTGTTACACATAATGGGCGCTTCTCTCCAGACTTCAATTATAATCAGAGAATGACATGACACGGGACAGAAAAAATAAAAAAATAAAGCAATATGCCCCACACCGCACAGAGAATAGCAGCGGACTCCTGGCAAAGAGCTTCTCCGCACCGCGCACACAACCCGGCCCCCTCTGCAGGGGAGCCCACCCCGGGCCCGGGTCTCCCCACGCGCGGTCTCTGAGCGTCTTCGCTGCCCCATCCAGAGCGGGTTCGGCGAGAGGGAGTCACTGCTGTGAGTGCTGGGGCGCGTGTCCGGGCGCTCGCGGGGTGAAGGGAAAGGACCCTCCACCAGCCTGTCACCGTATCCGGGTGTGTCAGACCGAAAGGGCAGTTCACGGGGCAGAGGAAACAGCTGCTGCGGGGAGCCCCCTCCTTGGGGAGGAACGAGTGGGGGGCCGGGACGCTTCCCGGAGCGGCCACGTCCCGAGGCGGCGGCCTCGGCAGCTTCCTCGGCTGCGGAGTCGCGCCCGCCCGCCCGCCCGCCAGCCCGCCGGCCGGTCTCCCCGCAGGCCGCCCCGCAGACCGTTAACGCGCGCCGCCGCCGCCCAGGCCCAGCTCCTGGGCTGTTCCTGGGTCCGCGGGCCCGGCGTGGGCCCTGCCCGCCTACCTGGCCTCCCTGCCCAGCGGAGGCGTCGTGGCGGCACCATGAGCGGACCGGACCGGCCCCGCCGCCGCCCCGCGCCACGGCCCCGGCCTCGGACTCACAGCGCGGCGGCGGCGCCCTCCATGGCGCCGCGCCGGAGGCCCAGCCCCTGAAGCCGCGGAGCCCCTCCGAGCGAGGCCGCGACGCCGCCCAGCGCCACGGGCCCGGGAGGGCGGGGAGCGGCCAGCGAGCGGACCACGCAGGCAGCGATGGCCGCGGAGCCGGAGCTGGACCCTGCGTCGACCCCACCCCCGCCGACCCGGCCCTCGCGCCCCGCCCCCGCCCCCGCCGTCGGCGCGTGATGACGTCACGGCCAGGGGCGTGTCCCGGGGAGTGGCGGCGCCGAGCCGGGCTCTGTGCGGCACTTAGACGTGGTGCTGCCGCCCAGGAGGAGCGGGTTAGGAAGACGGAAGACAGGGTGCGGGGAGGAGCGGGGCCAGGAAGACGGGGTGCGGGGAGGAGTGGAGGTAGGAAGACGGGGTGCGGGGAGGAGCGGGGTCAGGAAGACGGGGTGGGGGAGGAGCGGGGTCAGGAAGACGGGGTGCGGGGAGGAGCGGAGGTAGGAAGACGGGGTGCGGGGAGGAGCGGGGTCAGGAAGATGGGGTGCGGGGAGGAGCGGGGTCAGGAAGACGGGGTGCGGGGAAGAGCGGGGTCAGGAAGACGGGGTGGGGGAGGAGCGGGGTCAGGAAGACGGGGTGCGGGGAGGAGCGGGGTCAGGAAGACGGGGTGGGGGAGGAGCGGGGTCAGGAAGACGGGATGCGAGGAGGAGCGGGGTCAGGAAGACGGGGTGCGGGGAGGAGCGGAGGTAGGAAGACGGGGTGCGGGGAGGAGCGGGGTCAGGAAGACGGGGTGGGGAGGAGCGGGGTCAGGAAGACGGGGTGCGGGGAGGAGCGGGGTCAGGAAGACGGGGTGCGAGGAGGAGCGGGGTCAGGAAGACGGGGTGCGGGGAGGAGCGGAGGTAGGAAGACGGGGTGCGGGGAGGAGCGGGGTCAGGAAGACGAGGTGCGGGGAGGAGCGGAGGTAGGAAGACGGGTTGTGGGGCGCGGTGGAAGGAGAAAGGGGAGCCGGTGGACGTGAGCGGAGCGTAGGGTCAGGGAAGTGCCCCTTGACCCCGGACTTGGGCCAAGAGCTGTCACCAAGGAACTCTCAACTTTCCTAAAGGCAAAGTGGCTTGGGAGGATCTTTGCTTTCTGGAACCTTTTGTGTGTAAACTGCATCCCAGCTGTTGGAATTAGAGGTTGTGCTCCTTCACCTCCCTGCCCCTCAGTTTCCTCATCTGAGAAGTGGGCATAATGATAGTACCTGACTCATCTATTTTATTTATATATATTCCTTCCAGGCTTACATGTGTGCAAATGTGAAAGGCTTAGGTAATTCGTGGCACACAGTAAGAACTCCACAAATGATAGTAATTAACTATAGATTTTTAAAAAACCATCTTTTGACTATCCTACAAGAAATAAGGCTTGGCCAGCATACTGATTTATATTTAGAAAACAAAAACGAGACAAAAATGTTTTGTAACTTAACTTTTGCAACATCTTTATCAGATGGGAAGAAATTAAATTTGCTTACATCTGTCATCATCTTTTAAACCTTGGTTTTCTGAAATCGAATTCGTATTCAAATGACAAAACCACACCACTGGACTTTTTGGGTTAATCCAATAAATTATCAGCATGAAGTATCTATAATCATTCAGAAATCTATCATGCAAAATAGAAAAATCTTAATCATCTACTTGAATTACTATTTAGGGAAAATTTGGTTGTATTGCATTAATCAAATTATTTCAGCATCTGTTTTATTACATTAACTTTCTTTAGTGTCAGGCTCATAATATTTTTAAATTATTTTGTTACAATTATGATATATAAACTGAAAAAATCTCTCTATATAAAAGCCTAAGTGACCAAACGACCGGTCACTATGATGTGCACTGACCACCAGGGGACAGACGCTCAGCACACAGTATTGTGCTCCCTCCTGTCTGGATCAGGCCTGCAGGGATCAGGCAAAATGGCTATCCAACATCCCCGAGGGGTCCTGAATTTCGAGAAGACACAGGCCAGGCTGAGGGACCCCATCAGTGCATGAATCTGTGCACCATGCCTCTAGTAATAGCATAAAGAATAACTCCCAGGATCTAACAGGAACACTAGGTTCTATTTTTTAATCTGATCACATTTGTTCACGTAATCTTGAGGATGATTATTCTCTACTTTGCCTCAATTCATAAATATGCTCATACTGTTATGTTTATAAATAATGCAAATGATAATACTCTGAATGGAAGTCCTGCAATCAGAAAAGTAAAGAAGAAAGCACATGGAGACTAGTAGGAAGGGCAGAGGCATGGATGGAGGAGAGGCGTGAATGGGCTGGCCTGACAACAATGTGTGTGTTTTGTTTTTGTTTTGTTTTTTCAATCAGGAGGGTTATGTGGCTCTGGGTCCACCAGTGAGGAGCAAAGGGACCCACCCCACACCAGATCCCCCAGCCCAAGGTTCCAGAACTGGAAAGAGAAGTCCCTATAACTTCAGGCTGTAAAAAGCAACAGGGATTGTGGCTGAGTAGCACAGAAGCTGCTGGAATCACGGAGTTCCCCTAAAAGGGCCTGTACATGGACTTACTCAGACTTAATCTCTCTGAATTCCAACTCTGGGATGGTGGCTTGAAAGAACCTGGGATATTAGGGGAGGAACTGGATTATCTGGCATTAGAGCAAGAACTCTTGAGGGTGGCTTCCTCCCAGATGGGTGCTTGCAGATGTCATTGCTCCTATGCTGATATCTCCCCTGTCTCAGAGCTGACTGGCAGCCATATCTGAGTTTCCAATAGCTTGGCTCACACTGTTCACTTGTCCTGATTCCCACCAAAGCTGTTTGCAGCAGCTTTTCCATATGAATGGCCAGTCCTGGTTCAGGCTTCAGACTTGCCTAAAATCTCTTAAACAAGCAACAGCTGACTTCAGAGTGCCCCATACCTATCAATAAGAGGCCTAAAACCCTAGCCTGCCTTACTAGGGCACTTCTAAGCCCAATACAAGTAGCAACCATCTGAAGATATCTCTGTACCTCCTACTGGGTGACCCTAGGCAGTGGATTAGTAGAATCAACATCATGAAATGTCCATACTACCCAAAGCAATCTATAGATTTAATGCAATCCTTATTAAATTACCAATGGCATATTTCGCAGAACTGGAACAAATATCCAAAAATTCATGTGGAAACAAAAAAGACACTGAATAGCCACAGAAATCTAGAGAAAGAACAAAGTTGGAGGGATCACAATACCAGCTATCAAGTTACACTACAAATCCACTGTAATCAAAATAGCCCGGTATTTGCACAAGAATAGGTATATAATCAATGAAACAGAACAAAGACTCTAAAAATGTACCTAAGCCATTATGCTCAAGTAATATTTGACAAAGGAGGCAAGAGCATACAATGGAGTCAAAACAGTCTCTTCAATAAATGTTGTCGAGAAAATTGGACAGATACATGCAAAAAGTAAAACTAGACCACCACAAAAAATGAAATTAGACCACCAACTTATACCATACACAAAAATAATATCAAAATGGATAAAAGACATGTAAGGCATGAAAACATAAAAATCCTAGAAGAAACCATAGGCAGTAAAATATTAGACATCTTTCGTAGCTATATGTTTGCTGATACATCTCCCAAGGCAAAGGAAATTGAGAAAATAACAAATGGGACTACATCAAAATAAAAAGCTTCTGTGCAGCAAAAGTAACTACCAACAAAGTGAAAAGGGAGCCCACTGTATGAGAACATATTTAGCAATGATATATCTGATAAAGGGTTGATATCCAAAATATATAAGGAACTCATACAACTTAACCAAAGGAAGACAAACAATCTAATTTAAAAAAATGGGCAAAGGACCTAAATAGACACTTATCCAAAGAAGACAATACAGATGGCCAAGAGACATGAAAAATGCTCAGTCACTGATCATAAAAGACATGCAAATTAAAATGACAATGCGGTACCATCTCATACCTAACAGAATGGATATCATCAACAAATCAACAAATGACAAGTGCTGTCGAGGATATGGAGAAAAAAGAACCCTAGTGCACCATTGGTAGGAATGCAGACTAGTGCAGCCATTATGGAAAACAGTATGGAGTTTCCTCAAAAAATTAAATATGGAACTGCCATTTGACCTAGTGATCCCACTTCTAGGAATACATCCTCAGAAACCCAAAACATGAATCAGAAAGAATATATGCACCCCTATGTTCATAGCAGTAAAATTTACAATGGCTAAGATCTGGAAACAGTCCAAGTGCCCATCAGTCGATGAGTGGATAAAAAAGCTATGATATATGTACACCATGAAATACTGTTCAGCATTAAAAAGAAGGATCTCTTGCCCTTTGAGACAGTGTGGAAGGATCTGGATAGTATGTTAAGGGAAATAAGCCAGTCAGAGGAAGACAAATATCACATGATCTCACTCATGTGTGGAATCTAATGAACAAAATAAGCTGTTGAATATAATAGATCCAGAGACATGGAAGCATGGAAGAGATTATGGAATCTCAGAGGGAAGGCAAGGATGGGTGGGTGCTTTAGAAGAGATTAACCAAAGAACTTATATGCATACTAGTATATGTATAAACCATGGACACAGACAATAAGGTGGGGGAGGCCTATGGCATCCTTTAGAAAGTGTTGCAATACAGGTTTGTAAAAATGTGTGCATATATATATTGCTAGTCTATATATTTTACACCATAAATTTATAATGCTGTAATCCTAGTAACTCTGAAGAACAAAATGTGATAGAACTATAACTCAAAACATAACTCTGCAAAGGCATTGATTCCTAGCATAGGCCCTTCTATGTCAATTGATCAAAAAGTATTTATTGATGCTCTTTTGTATAACCAGAGCTAGACAATGTGGGGGAATTAATTGACTCTGCAAATATTTATTGAGTGTCTGCTACATTCCATATTCCCTTCAAGACACTGGGCCATCTCTTTTGTTGTTGTTGTTAATCCTCACCCAAGGATTTTTTTCCATTGATTTTCAGAGAGCTTGGAAGGGAGGGAGGTCAGAAGGAGGGGGAGGAGAGAAAGAAACTAGAATGTGAGGGAGATACATCAACTGGTTGCATCCTGCGCATGCCCCGACCAACACTGGACCATCTTACTAGTAGAATGACCTTAACTTCAAGGTACTAGATATAGCAATAAACAAAACAAATAAAGCCCTTATATTTTGG